TTTCACCTCAAGAGGGACAACAACAAAATGATTTTTCTCACATGGCGCATCTCTCACATTGTTTCTTCCATCCACATCATTTCTTCCATCCAAACATAAGCCACCARTATGTCATCTAACTTTGTACAGGATGCAATGCCCAAGGGCACTCATTCATCTACCCATCAGACATGGAATGCTTTGTCCAAGATAAAGCCAAAGAAGAAGAGTAGACCAAGGCGATCTTGGCGGTCATGTTCTGACATTTGAAAAGAGCCAAACCGTCACTGAAGAGTCTGTCTTGAAAAATTCATGACAACTGATTGGAATCAAGACAAGTCCACAGAAGAGGAAGCTTTTGCTGCTGAGAGTGAATCCATCTCAATTGATGATTATTTGACCATCAATCATAGTCAGGATCGGAAACATTGTCTGGTGTTAGATAGTGTCAACAAATCAATTTGTATCTTTGCCAAGGTCTCCAGAAATAAAGCTCTGCACAACTTGGCCTCAACAAAGAATATTGAATCTGTCCAGAGATTCTCAAATGACATGATTCGATGGAAGCCAATTATCAAGAGGGGAGGAAAATGTGACAGTACAAATTCAGGGTATGCCATCATATTACTAGTCCATCCTGAAAGGACATCGTCCCGAATAATTGATTACACATTAAAGCCTAATGCTCAAAAGGAAAAATGTGAAGAACTTGAAGCATAACTCCTTTCAACAGTTTTTAACAGAAGGAGCGTTCAATCATGAAGGAAATTGTGCAGCGGAYGACATTGAACACAGTTGGAGAACACACAACAGCATTCTCAATTGGTAAAGATTATCATTCTCGATGCCATACTGACCCAGACATGTACTACACACTATTAACTGTTGCGGCTCCATCAAGAGATCAGGACCATGAGGTCATCTATTATTTCACTTTTCCTACATACAAAATCCAAATTCCGTTGCGGTCAGGTGACACGCTACTCTTCCACCCATCTATCCCACACAGTTGCAGCAATCCAAAAATGAAAGGCTCATTCATTATGTCCGGGTATGTTAGTACAAGAACTGTGCTACGGTGCACTCCTCTGTAACATTCTAGAACAATTTTTTTTTGAAAAGGTCATGTCGTAATGACATGACCTTTCCCCTCTGATAAGAATGTTCACTGAAACATTCTGCATTTGACGTGGGAGCTATCTGTCTCAACCTAGTGTTGTTATGGCTTAAAGTTCCGTCCTCAGAGAGCCTCGCAGTTCCCAATTGCCAAGTGTGCTCTTATTTGCAGCCCTTGTGTAAACTCATGTTGCACAATATTGCTCAAGCAATAACCAAAATACTAAAACGTCAGACAAATAATCACTGCAACCTGGTTCTGTGAGGGGCACCTTCAAGTTTATGCACACTGCAGTTCCCACAAATTTTTCTGGTTGGGTTTTCCGGTTGGGGTGTCCGGTTGTTTTTTTTTAAACCCCAACCGCAAAAATTTGCGGTCTGTGCACAGTGTGTGCACAGTGAAAAAAAAAACACCAGAAACCCCAACTGCAAACCCCAACTGCAAAAATTTACGGTTTGTGCACAGTGCGTGCACAGTGAAAAAAAAAAAAACTGCAAAAGTTTGCATTTTGTGCACAGTGCGGTTCACCGTGTGGTTTGCGGTTCACTGTGCGGTTTGCGGTTCATGGTGCGGTTTGCAGTTTACAGTTCACAGTGTGTTTAAGTCTCTGCTAGTGCAGTAGCTTCTGCCTTCCGCTTCTTATGTCTTGTTGTGCTCAATTTCCTTTCAAAAGGAGTTATTGAACAGGTTTTTGACTCTCGGAAAAACTTGTCCATTGATTAAAAAAATTGCTTGTTTTCAATTGCTTTTGATTCCTCTTTCATGTAGGCAATCGCAAGCTTGTATCAGGAGAACATCCGTGTGTCACATTTGGGATAGTCCCGTCTCCAAGTGCTGGAGTGTTCACGTTCCAGGGCATCGACACCACCACAAATTGGAATATCTTTGTACTTCCCAGTGCCAAACCAAACATTCCATAACTGAGAAGCAGATCATACTACTGGAAGTTTGTAACCAAATCCTGGAAATGGCAAGTTCTTGGTGGTGCAGGGTGGGTTGGCAGTGCTTATTGCTTTACGAGTTGCAACAATATTTCCTTGATGCAAAATGGGTTGGACTGACATGGTATCTGTCATCCTGTCTGCTGGAACAGTAGCAGCATCTCCAAAACTTGATCTCAGTAAACGAAATTGGTTGACGATAGTATCCCGCATTATTGCATGATTTGATTCTGCCACAAGTTGGGACAACAGTGCAGAGTTCCGTTCATGGAATGCTTTGCATCCAGACAGACTTGTTTGAATACCATTGATTTTAGAATTCAAGCCAACATTGAACTGTTCAAAGGAATTATCCCATGGACTCTTTGATCTATCAAGATGAACCCTCATTTCTTCCATGTACTTCCTGAATTTGTCATTATTAAAAATATCAAGCTGGTACATTGGATGAATAATACGGTCAGGGTATTTGACGGAAAGAGCTGCTGCGTCTTGGATTACAACCTGTGCAAGGTCATGCATGAACAGTAGGAAGCATTGTGCCATTGCACAGGAAGCATTATTTGCTTTATTTGCATCAAACGTTTCCCTTGCCTGTTGCAGCCAAGGGAAAACAGCATCAGCAAGGTCTTGAGGTACAGAGAGCCCTATTCTTGGATTCCAATTGATGTGTCTCTTCAGATGTGCCTTGCTACGGATAATTGCTAGAGGAATCTTTGTGGAATACCGTGTCTCCTGTACATTTAGACCCCAGTTGCCAAGATTACTGATTTCTTCTCTAGGGTCCTCGTTGAGATCACATTCATAGGCACCCAAAACACGACCTATGTGAACAAAATGTGCTGTTGGTATTCCTTCTTTTTTGCAGATTTTTTTTACAGCAGCTGCATCATACGTTTTGTCGTTCATACATTTTGTATTATCTTTGGTGTTGAATGCTGTTAACAACTTGATATTGAACCAGGCACTGTTGTCGGAAAAATCAATGTCGTCCATTTCATGACTGTAGTGAAACCGGTACATGAGGTAGAAGCCTAATGCTCTGACAGGACACTGATTCACATCAAAATTTCTTGCCATTCTCCCATAGAGCTTGAATCCACGATTTACCTTCCCTGTTGCAAACTGCATTATCATTACAAATAAAGGGTGTGGATTATCTTCCTTTTGAACAAGAATTCAGAAAACATCAGATAGTTCTGCCTTGAACAATGTCTTGACACATAACAAACCACACATGGTGGAAAGGAATGTGAACCGGTCCCGTTTTTTTGGGACGACATTTCAATGCCATTGGTGAAGAATGAATTCTCTGTGACATCTATATGTTGAACTGCATCCATTGGTGCTGAATTGTTGTCCATCTTTTCTTTGTAGTTTTTCCGATCCATTCGTGGCTGACGTCCTTTTACATGGTTCATAATTTGAGATATTTTCAAGCCAAAAACCATCTCTTCACTATGTGTGTTGATTCCATCATCCTGCTGTTGCAGCCACATTTGACAGAGAGCAGCTTTAGTGCTATTCATCACATTCCAGCCCACCCCAATTTTGGGCTCTWATTTCTCCATGAGACTACTTTTCAGCATGTTTTGGGAGTTCTGGACAATAAGAGTCGATATTCGTTTCCACTCATCTATATCAAAAGTAACTGATTTTGCCCCTTTCTTTTTCTGTCCTCTTTTTTTCTGCTCCTGGAAGGCAACGTAGAGCATAAATTGTTTTACCTTGTCTTGGTCGACAGTGTATCTTTTTTCAATTCTCATTCCACTATAGACGGTGTCGCAAAAAGACGGAACTCGTCTTTCTTTGCTTCATARGATTTAGGTGTGTTCTTCATTCTCCCATGCTCGGCAAAATTTGTCTCATCAATCATGGATTCTATTCCGTGATTGACTTGTGTGTTATCCATTGTTTGAATTGTCGCATGTCCAAACAAGACCATTGCGGCAGACGGAGAAGAATCATTTTCCCATTCTGCCTGTGCTGGTGCAGGGTCATTCTCCTGTTGCTGTTGTCTTGGAAGATTCTCAGTAAAGGAATCAAATAGGTCAACCAGAGTATCAAGAGGATTTTTTGTTGTATTTTCCATTGCAATTGGTGCTTGCTGTATTGGTTTCTTGGGCAGACGATGTTACGGTTGGTGTAAAAGGAGTTTGTTTCATGACAGCGCAAGTCGTAATATTTGGTCAAGCAGATACTGCTTCTTCTGCTGGTGTGAGTGGGGAGGGGGTGCACAATTTTTGTCGTAGAAGCAAGAAACTGATCTGATTGGAGATGTTCAGTGCAACCAGCATGACGTCACGGTACAAAAATAACCCAAAAATAACCAGTGTTTTTTTTACAAAATTAGGGTTATTTTTATGCCAGGACTGCAAGACCATATGTGTATGGACCACCGTGTGGTCCTGTTGTGGTCCTCGGAATAGATAATCAAAAATGTTATTGCCAGACTATTGCCTGGTGGTAGCGTGCCCGGCGTGGTAGTAAAATAGTCAAAAATGATCCTCCCTGTACTCCTGGTGGCTTCTTAACATGCCCTGTCCGACATGATCTTACACAGTCAAAGCAGTAGTGGACATAAATTCTTATTTGGACAACCATGAAGGTGCAAACTGTACATTCATAGTGGGACGGAGGAAGTACTACCTACTGTACGAAATAGTACTTCAGTGAATACGTACGATAGTAAAATACTGTAGTACATTACGTGCTTCAACTGTACCGTACAGCCGTAACAATGCCAGGAACAGGAATTGACATTAATTGACATTAACTTGCCAGCATGGGACCCATACGTAGCGTACTTACTCGTAGTATCAGGATGTGATACAGTATTTTTTAACAATTCCAAATCGTTACTTACGAGGTAGTGTACGGTACGGTACCATAACATCCCCATCGCTTTCCGGGGAAGTAACAGTTACTCTATTGCGAATTCTCGGTGACCCGCATCCAATGGAGTGAGCGAGCAAGCGATTGATCCACTGATTGCGTTGTATTGCATTGCATTCCATTCCATTCCTACCGTAGCCTGCTGCGAGACGCAGAACTATGCCAACCATTCCGCAATGAACCGGGAAGGCCCCGCCCGGCCGGAAGCAGCAGCACCCCCTTCCGCGGGAGATACCCGCTTGGCGTTGCCGCCGGGCCACCGGTGGAGGCCTCCGGGCGAAGAGAGGGGCACCCGGCGGCGCGGTCCATCGGTATCGCAGCCGGGGCATTCCGGCCCCGGCCGGAGGGCTTTCCCGGACAAGGCGGCAGACCCGTCCGCCCCTCTGGGCATCGCCAGCACCGACGGGGGGAGTCGAATCGGAACAAGAACAACAGAAACAACAAGAACACCAAACACGAACCAAAACCGCCGCCGCCGGCGAAGGCCTATTCCCGGCGGTTCCTTCTCCGGACCGGGTCGTCCGGCCGCTCCGGGGGGGCACCAACCACCCGGGAGCCGTCCGCGGAGGGCCCGGGTGGTCTGGGCTGGCATCGCGGCCTGCCTGGCCACCGCGTACGGCTTTCTCGCTTTGGCCACCTTTCGCCTCCTCGCCCTCCGGCCCTGGGAGCCCCGCCACCGCCGGCCGCGGGCGGGCACCGACCGGGGGGTCCGCCACGGTGGGCTGCCAACGGCGGCCCACGTTTCCTTCGGAGCAAATACCGACGCCCGGAACGCCACGATCCGCCACCCGCCCACCAGCACCAAGACGGTCCGGTTCCGGCGCAGGTACCCCCGGATGATCTATTTCCTGCACATCCACAAGTCCGGGGGGACCTTTGTCTGCCAGCAGGCCTTTCGCAACCGCCTGTCGGCCAACTACGAGCGCAACTGCAACGCCCGGGCCGACGGCCGGTGCTGCAGCGGGACCGACGTCCCGGGCGAAAGGGGTCCCACCAGCGGGGAACCCCCCTCCTTCTCGGCGGCCAGCCAGGCCGCCTTTGCGGAAAAGGCCCCCTACGACCTGGTGGCGGCCGAGCGGGAGCTCCCGGGGGTCCTCCTCCCGGAGCACTACGACTACGTGGTGGGCCTGAGGGACTCGCGGGACCGCTACCAGAGCCACTGGAACCACCTGGTCCGCGAGCGGCGCGATGCCGGTTCCAGCAACACCAACAGCAGCAACAACAACAGCAACAACTTTGCCGAGTGGATAAAGGGCCAGCCCGACAACTACAACGTGAGGATGATCTGCGGCACCCGCTGCTCGGCCGTCCCCAAGTACGGGATCACCTTGGAGCTCTTTCGGCACGCCCTGGACCGCCTGTGGGAAGACGTTTCCCACGTCTTGTTCGTCGAGGACATGGAGGAGTCCTTTGGGAGGTTCGCGGAGGCCTACGGGTGGGAGCCCTACGACCCCCCCGACCCCGGCCCTTCGCCGCGAACGGCCGGAGCCAATGGTTCGGCGTGGGACCCGTACATGTTTGTCCTGGACGACGCGCTCTACGAGTTTGCGAAACAAAAACAGGCGGACACGAGGAACGCGACCGGGCAGAACGGCAGGAGGAACGCGACCGGGGTCCCCGGCGCCCGGGGCTCTTGGAGGCGTCCCTTTCGGAACCAGGCGCTGGTCGATGGGTACTTCCGGGAGGGCCCCTCGAGAAACTGCACGAACGCCTGCTGCGGGCGGTGCTCCGAGTGGTAGCGCAGCCGCGGGTTTGCGGGCGTTGCGTCTCCCGATTGCAAGAATGCCATGGAAATTGTGTCGTAGTTTTCCCCAGTGCAAGTGGAGTGGCAAAACCACCAGTAGTATGTTAGTTTTTGCCTTCCTTCCACTAATACTAGTGCCTCGTTTGTACAGGGGATCCAGGCAATGCATTGCTAAATATTATTTTATCATAACTACATACTGGCTGTGAAATCCACAAAACACATATTATATGAATTTTTGTTCTTTTGGCCAAGAATCAAGTCAAATAAAGGTCAAACTTTAGTTGACACAAGGAGGCAAAGAAATAATTCCATTTCAATCTGGGCTTCATCCACTAAATCTGCTGGTTGTATTCTATTTCTGCCATAGTTTTGTAAGCTGCTATGAATTTGGTTCTGTGTACAAAGGGCAGCTAATGATTGTTATATTATCACCATCACTCCTCCTTCCATAGTATGTTTTTGAACAATACCTACTATTTCCTCTTCTTGCACTCATAAAAATATTTCTACTACTAGTAGTAGTAGTAGTTGTGGTGGTGATATACTCATGATGCATTTTTCCTCCTTTTTCTTCTTCTTTTCTTGGCCAACATGCAGTACTGGTAGTACTGGTCATAAGTGCTACTACTAGTAGTACTAGTAGTACTTGTAGCAACATGGAAGAAATCCACCAGGAACAGAAATTGCAAAGGCAGATACTGAACAGAAAGTAGATTATTGGCTGTGTTTTTATATTTCTCTACGCAAAAGGTTACCACAAGAAAAAAATGCAAAAAGTGTGCCCAATGTCAGGATCGAACTGACGGCCTTTCGCTTACTCGTGTGATTGGATTATGAGACGAACGCTCTGCCTACTGAGCTAACCGGGCACTGCCAAGAGGACCAAATTTATGCATTATAATTATAGACAAACAAAATACTATCAATTTTTATTCTAGAAATAATAAACACTGGTTCCTACCGTGCCCACATTTGTACTTGTAATGAACAGGAATGCCCATGACCAGCGTCCGACCCGTACCGTATCGCAAATGTATTGGGAGCTGAAGGTACGATTGGTCCTGCAAGCCGGGGTTGTTCTTGCCGTTCCGGCCGTATCTATTACTAGAAGGACGCAGGCGCGTTTTTGCTCAACGCGGTTCGTTGATCCGTTGTGGGAATGGGCACTACAGTAAAGTACAGTACAGTACACTACAGCACAGCACTACATACTTTAGCAAGCTAGCTAGCGGACCGAGTGCACGGCTCGGGGTTGCTCCGCGTTGGGCTCGGTGGCGTGGCGTGGCGTGGCATGACTCGCCGCGCCCCGCCCCTATCTATTTGATCCGCGTGGCCGTAAACAGCACGGGCGGGCTCTCCATGCCCAGCTTGTCGTGCTGGGAGACCCGCCAGGTCCCCGGGCCCGACGCCACCACCCGCTCCATGCACGAGGCCACCAGGTCCTTGATGGCGACCCCCTCCCCTTGCTCGCGGTTTCGGTCGTCTCCAAAGGCGGCCACCTCCTCCTCCCAGCTCCTCGTCTTGCTGGACAGCAGGGCCAGGCAGGTGACGAAGAGCCGGACGGCCTCCGCCTCGCCCGGGCTGGTGGTGGGGTAGGTGATGGCGCTGAGCATGCCGCCGACGCGCAGGAGGGAGACCGCGTCGACCATGGACGCGAGGGTCGTTCCCGCCTGGGTCACGGTGCCCTTGCCCCCCGTGTCCCCGCCGGGAAGCCACCCGAGGTTGTAGACGACCAGGCCGACCGAGGAGGGGTCCGAGGGCCGGGGGAGGGTCTCGTGGGAGGCCTCCAGGACCCGGACGAGGTTTCCGCTTCCGCCCATGGCGGTTTGTTCGCCGGCCCCCAGCACGCGGACCGAAGCGGGCAGGGCCTCGCGGAGGGCCTCACGGGTCCGCTGGCAGGCCAGCTCCTGGACGTCCAGGCACAGGAGCTCGGACCTTCCGGTGCCGGCGTCGCCGTCGTTGCCGCCGGCGTTGGCTCCAAAGAGGATCTCCGCCAGGACGACGGAATCGTTCCCGTTCCCGCAGGTCGCGTCGATGGCGCTGTCCACCCCGGGCCGGATGACCGAGGCCCACAGGGCGTGGGCCAGCGCCACGTTGTTGAGGGCCGGGTGGTTCTTGTAGGCCGTCGCAAAGGGGAACTCGTAGCGTCGGGCGGTCTTGCTGCCTCCTTTCCTGGCGTGGTGGGGATAGCTCTGCTGGCGCTGCTTCGAGGTGTCCGTGGTGTTCGAGTACCTGCTTCTCGGGGCGTCCGAGCCAAGGGCGGTTGAACTGCTTCCGCCACCGGAACGCTCGGCATTGTCTCTCGCGTCGCTCACGGTGGCGGTTGTGGAATAGGCCCGCCGGAGGGTGGACCCGAGGAGTCCCCGGACGGACGCGGAGACTTCTTCTCGGCTGTTATTGTTGTTGTTGTCGTTGCTGCTTTTGTTGTCGTTGCTGTTGTCGCCGCCCGCTGCGGCCGCTACCGAGGCCGAGGTCAGGACGGCTTCCACCACCTCGCCGAGGGCAGAAGCGGGGGCAGGGGCGTTCGGCCCGGCGTCGTCGCTGCCGCCTCCCCCGTTCCCGGCGACCGATCCGAGCCCGCGGCTCCGGCTCCGGGAGGCGGGCTCCCGCGTCCCCGCCGGGGCCTTCCGGGGGACCACGGCGGGTGCGGTTCCAAAGGCCCGGACCGCCAGAGGGGGAAGGGCGGGCCGCCTCGTGGTGGTGGTCCCCGCGATCGCGATCGCCGCCAGGAGCATGGCCCGCGCGAAGAACCTCCCCGGGGAATCCCCCCTCGGCATTCTGCGCGGCGGCAGGGGTGGTCGGGGCCTCCGGGAGAAGCGGAACGGAGCGATTGGTTGTACGCCGGGCGTTCGTTCTCGCGGCGTGTGGCAGCGGTTGCGGTTGCGGTGGCTTCGTGCGGCAGCGGGTGATCACGAACGGTGTTTCGCTGGTGTCTCTTTTGTTTGCTTGGTCCGGCGGCAACCAAGAGTGTGTCCCTACCGTAGGAGCATCGGTGGGAATGCCCGTCGCTCCAATCCCTTTCCTTGTTGGAAGCACCAACGAAGAATTCAATCGATCGATGATGCTGAGTGGTACGAGTATGGTACTTACTTTTACGTACGAACTCGTACAGCATGAACACACGCGTGGTATTTCTCAACTCGACCACAGAAAATGAGATCTCTTCGATGATGGGCGGAGGACGGAGGATGGTGGCATCATCATGACTTGGAGCCCCCCCCAAAAGGAAGGGGGATATGCAACACCAAAAGCGTACAACAAGCGTAGTACAATAGGGTACGTAATAAAGTACGAGCACAAGGACAAACCTTGATTTGATTAGGATTCAGGATACCTAGGTGCCACCGACAACCAAATTTGATGTGATGTTTGAAATATTCGAAAAACGAAACACGAGTTGCCAAACGGCACCATGGCAGAGTAATACGAAGTGATGTATTTTTTCTCGTTCCCTCGAAACAGATCGATAGACACGCCGCCGCTGCCACCCACACAGCATGGATCCATCGGTGTTGTCCCTCGTGGAGAATTCGATAGCCTTTGTTCCGCTGGAGGGAAAGGACGAGTGGGACGTTCTGGTAGCGTCGCCGACGACGACGACGTCGCCGCGCAAGCCACCGAACGGGCCGGGCGGATCCTCCCCCTCCCACGCGGTGGTCTATCCCACCGCGGGCGGCCTCCGCAAGGCCTGCCTGGCGGAGGTGGCACGGTCGCCGGGCCAGCGCCGCAAGGCGACCCTGGTGGCCGCCCTCGAAAAGTGGATCCTGCAGAACCAAAAGGCCGTTTCCAGGCCGAAAGCGAAACGGGCCGGGGCGGGAGGAGCACCACCACAAGAACCTCCCAAGAGCTCCCCCGTGCGGCTCCTCGCCATCGGCGGGCCCGGGGGACAAGATCCCCATCCCGAGGCGGTCCTGGACCGCTACGCGGAGGCGGTGGCGGCCGGCAGCAGCGGCGAACCGCCAGGGGGAAGCGGTGGGCCCCCCGACGGTAAGCAACCCCCGCCGGCCCCCCTGGGCTGCGCCCTGGCGAGGGGACCGATGGATCCCTCCGGCTCCCTGGTCCTGCGCTGCCACAGGACGCTGGTCGACGGAACCGTCGGGAGGGGGACGCCCAAGACGAGGCACCGGACCGGGCCTCGAGTTCTCCGACCGACCGGAGACAACGACAAGAAGAAGGACCACGACGACGCGGTCCTCCGCTGCGCTTCGGCCCTCTACCACCGGATCTGGTGCGTTCGGACCCTTCGGAAGCGGGACCTGCGGCGGGCCTACGGATTCGCCCTGGAAGCGGCGCCGGCGGCGGCCTCCCACGGCAGCGGCGATGCAGCGGTGGCGCTATCGGTGACCCTGATGATGCTGGAAAAGCCCTCCTGGTCGGCCGCCAAAACGGAAAGAACTTTCGAAACCCCGCGACGGCCCGCTTCAAGGATCGGGGGACGGTACCCCCTCTACCTCTACACCCGGCACTACCACCTGCCGAAGGCTTCCGGTTCCGGCCCGTGCTCTCCGGAATCCGTCCTGGGAGACCTGGCGGCCTTTCTCTATGTTTCCTCGGCGGTGCTCCCGTGCCCCTGCCGGGACACGCCACCCCTCCGGGAGGCCTGGAGGAGCTCCCCCGGGTGCATGCTGCTGCCGGACCAGGGGCCCGGGGCAAGCCCCTCTTCCGTCCTCCCGGGAACCGGAGGGGCGGGGGGCCGCTTCTCCGTGGCGCCCACCATTACCGGCTCGCTGGTCGTTCGCTGCGAGGGGGCCGAAGCCGTCGGGGAGCTCCTGCGGTCGCTCCGGCCCGGGTCCCTTCCGGCGTACGGCCGCGAGGAGACCGAAGAGACCGAGCGGATGCGGGCCCTCGCGGCCGCCGTTGCTTCCGCCGCGGAAGAAGGCGGGGACGGGGTCTGGTACGCCAAGTACAAGACCCCGGCCCTCGGGGCCTTCTGGGACCTCTCCCGGTCGGCCATCAACGGTCCCCGGGGCGGCCTGCTCGGGAGGAGAACACGCTCCCTCCCGGCCTGCGCGAGGGACTGGCTCTGGCTCCACCCGGTGGACAGCAGCGTGGGGCCGAGGTGCTCCGTCACCGTCACGAGGTCCGCCGGCCTTCCGCTCCGGGGATCGCTGGGGAAGACCGTCCCCTGGCGGGAGTTCCTGCGGCTCTTTCGCGGCCTGGCGGAGTCGGTCCTCGGGGTCCAGTCCGCTTCCGGGGGGCTGGTCCACGGGGACGTCCACGAGGGGAACCTGCTGTACCTCGGCGGGGCCAAACACGCCGCCGAACGCGCCCCCCGGCTGGTCCTGATCGATTGGGACGAGGCCACGAGGGGCAAGCCCTGCCACCGGGCCACCCGCACCGACGAGGAGAGGCTCCGGTACCCGGGCTGCCTCGTCGATTTTCCCGAGCAGTACACGAAGCAGCAGCTCCTCTGCCTGTTTCGGGCGCTGGCATCGGCCTACTACCCCTCCGAGGCGGAGGGTTGGGACGATCGGTTCCCCCTTACCGGGCCGGACCGGGGGGGGACAAGCGGCGGGAGCCCTCCGGGCCGAGCGGCCGTGGAAGACCGGTTTCGGGCCCTCCTGCGAGGCCTAGCGAGCGGGCAGTGAGGGCTATGGTGGTGGCGCGGCCCGTGGGGAGCGACCGCCTTTTTCGCTCGGTGCGACGGGTTTCTTCCGTGGCTGGCTCGAAGGGTGGGTGGTGTTGCTCGTCGGAAGCGACACCAATGACAGAATGCATGTGGTACCTTACTAGAAGAGACTTCCTGGGGAAAAAATGAAAACATTTATGGTAGTCGCTAGAACGACAACCAGAACAACAACCGGATACGAAACACCATAGCCAATCATTTCAGTCGAAAGAATCAATTGTTTTTATTCTATGCTTTGTTTAGACGATGGTTGCGAGAAAGATTGCAACGTAAAAGGATAGTTCTACCAGTTCTTTGGGTGCCGAATCCTGCGTACACGGGCATCTGGTGCCGCCTTCAATATCAACAAGGCCTTCCACAGCAACTGCTACAGGTTCCTGCTCAAATGCACGGGATCCAGTGTCACGAAACCTATCACAGCCTGACTCGTGTCCCCCATAATTTCCTTCTCTCACTTGAGGTTAGTTTTTAGATTTTCCACAATACAGATCAGAATACTAATCAGAATACATCCAGCTTACACGTATACCGTACGAACGGCGTGAGTAGCTCGTCCGATCATCACACCATATTCCGTTCTGTTGATCTTCACATCGAAGAACAAACGTACGAAATGCTCATTTTTTTGTACCTACTAGTACGCAGTCAGTTCAACATACCATGCGTACGAACATACATTTGCAGGTACTGGTATCTTTCAACCAATCTTTTCTTGGATTGACAGAGGTTTACCGCTTCACCGCATAGTTCGAAGATATTAGATGTTTCTATTTATACAATCAATCTACAAAGAACCACAAAGAAATAAAAATTATACCCTTTCGTTCCGTTGCAACGCAGGCAGAGAGTCAAAAAGCAACGATGATCGAGATTCAGCCGGCAGTCTCATTTGGCGAAACTACAGCGGTATCTAGATCGAAAAAGAAAAAATTACGGACATGCCGATGCGCCAACACCATCGTTCCTTTTCTTTTTCTCTTGTTTGAGATCACTTCCCCCACCAATGGCTTCTTCCTCTCCAAACAAGGGTCGCGGCATCAGACGAATCGACAGCGACATCGTCGGGCTCTTTGGCGCACGAGCGTCAAGCTTKGAAATCCATCGGCGGAGATGAATTCGAACAATGAACAGGATAGCTCTCTGCTTCTCCCTCTCATGAAACTGGCATCCACACATTGTGCTTCGCAAGCGCTTTATACAGCTGTGCAACTCAAGCTTTTGGACATTCTCGACGAAAAGCAGGCTCCGTGTTCCATCGATGAACTCTGTGAGGCGGTGACAGCGGCATCGGCAACATCATCGCAAGATAATGGAACAAACCGTAGCTGCAATCGAGATGCGCTCCTCCGAACCATGAGATTGCTAACCACCATTGGCATTGTTTGCGAGGAGAACGATCCACCTACAGGCGACGACACCCCGGAGTGGTTGTTTTCTTTCTCGCTCACCACTCTTGGAAAATCTCTCCGAACGAATTCTGCTTCTAACGCAGAGCCGAGCATGGCCTCGTGCATCCTACACTGGATGGAGAAACCACTGTGGGACTCTTGGCTCGGTTTGCCGGGCTACATCCTCGAGGGAGAATCCTCGACCCTGCCCTTTGAGCGCGCCAACAACGGCGTTTCGAGCGATGCTTGGTACAACCGAGAAGAACACCCGGAATCCCTGCGCCACGCCAACAACTTTGTGAGACTGATACACGACCAGGAAATCGAGGCCGTCGCCGAGCGCTTCGACTGGTCCTTTTGCCGCGGAAAACGGCTGGTCGACGTCGGTGGTCATAACGGTAAGCTGGCCGCGGCAATTGCCCAGCGAGAACCTACCATCGATTGCTACTGCTTCGACCTTCCGGAAGTGATCGAAGGCGTACCGATAGCTCCGGAAGGGGTCACCATGGTTCCCGGAAACGTGTTCGACTCGGCAACGATTCCCCCCTGCGAGGTCATTCTGATGAAACACTTTTGCGACCGTTGCATGTGGGACGAACCGCAGACGGTGGAGCTCTTGCGGTGTTGCCGTAGTGCCCTACAGAAGAATGGCAGCAGCCAAAGCGATGATGCAGAAAAGGGGAGAATCGTAATTGCGGATGCGGTGCTGCCGGATTGCGGGGGAGTCAACGAAAAGAACGAGCTCGCGCTGTACCTCGATGCTCTTTACATGCTGGTGGGAAGGGAACGACAGAGGACCCGGCGGGAATGGGAACAGCTTGCCAATAAGGCTGGTCTTGATCTTGTACTCATCGAATCGACCACTGTTCCGAGCTGCAGCTTGATTGTTCTAGAGACTAGATAGTGGTTGTTGGGACGCAGCGATGGCAAGTGATTAAAAGTCGACAAATAGCGCTGCAAGAAACTTCTAATAGATTCAATGCATATAGGTATTCTAATTGAATAGCCAAGAGCGTATTATTAAATTTACAAGTTTGTTTACAGTTGATCTTACCGACGCGAATCTTTAATCTAACATATCGGATAATTTCATGGTTGGCACTTGATCGTCGTAAGTCAGCAATTCCGCAGTGTGTTTGTATAGGGAACTAGCTCCTGGAGCGATTCGGTACGCAGCCGAGACCACTCCGCTCTGGCCTCCTTCGCGGTTCCTTCCCATGGGAATCGTTTCAGCACTCCCGACGAATTACAACCGCCATCATCTGCTTTGTTGTTAGGATCCGCATCGGCAACGATGACGGTAGCCTTTAGCCTCCCCAACCGAAAGGGCTCCCGGAGGACCCGAACGCGTAGGGAGCCGGTAGCACGAATCGCGGCTAGGGCTTCCGCCTGGTGATCGACGTCGACCAGGAGCGCTATCCTTCCGTGGTGGGGATCCAGCACGCGGGTCCACTCGCGCAACCAATCTCGGTACGATGCTTGTAGCGCTTCGTTGGTGCGTTTCGTCGCACCCCCATCGCTGGCAGCTCGTCTCTCTGCTGCATCGTCCCCGAGCGAAAAAAACTGTCTGCCAAAGGGCGGACAGGTAGCGATGGCGGCAACCGAGCCGTCCCCAAATCCGAGCCGGGACAAGTCGCGGGAATCCCCTTGCCGGAGTTCAATCGTGCAGTCACCGCCCAATGCCTCGGCAACGGCCTCGACGTTTTCCGCCGCATCCTCCAGCTGCTGGCTGGAGGCGTCAACCCCTATAAAGGAAACCGAAGCTCGATCGTCGTTTGTGTTTGCACCATTCATCGGCGTACTGTTTTCAATGCCCCACGTGGTAGCTGCCTCTACCAGGAATGTTGCTTTTCCACACAGCGGATCGAGGACTATCACCTCTTCGTTCTTGTTGCAGCTTGCCGCCCGGGCCAGGACTCCATCCCTGAGGTCTCGCATCAGCATCCACGCCTCGACCCTCTTGCAACCCGGCTTGGGAAGGTAATCCTCGTTGGAGAATTTCTTGGTGGTGGGTGGAGCCAGCATGGTCCACTCCAATCGCAGCGTATTGTCTGCCCCGTACATCAGGAGATGGAAGTCACAATCCTGCAGTGGCCTGTTCGAACCCGAAGCATGAGCAGCAGCTGATTCCGGATCTCTTGGCTGTTCGAGACAGCCGTATTTTCGAAGAAGCAGCTTACGGAGGGTAGCTTTGGTGCGGGTGGACGAGAACTCGTCCTTGGACAGACACCGAAAGGTTGACCATCGGCGGCAGGTAACATCGAACCGGGTTGGATGGATTTGTGGGTTCTTTTGGTGCGAGGGTGCCTCCTCCGATATGTCGTTCCCATCTTTTGTTTGCCGTGTCGCGGTGTGTTCCGGTACTGTGTTGCCAAAGGACTCATAGATCTCCCAGGGCAACTGCGACGGTAGATTTGCCTCGAGGGCACTCCAAATGCGCTCTTCGGATGTCCACGCTGTAGAGGAGGATTCGTCGGAGGCATCCGTGTGGCCCGGATCGGTTGCGACCCTGCACTCACAGATCACGAGCCGGAGCGACTTCATTCCGTATGGAGACAACCATCGGTTCCATTCGGAAAAAGATACAGATTGGTTTGCCACTGCCGTCGACGAATCCTCCTCCGTTGTGTCGTTGCGGTTGCCATCGCAATAATCGTCGAGAATGCGGTCGTTTGTTCCTTGTGATGGAATTGGAACCCGAAAAGACAGACGACCGCCATTGTTCGCTTCTAGGAGTCTAACGTCGATCGTTGGGACCAAGGTATGTGGATCACTGGGAAGCCGGTGCACGGCCTTTTCGAGGAAGGACTTGGTGAATTTGTTTGAAGGGTTCGTAGATGCCGGGACGATCGAAAACGCCAGCAGGTTGTCGAAATTTAAGTTTACATCTAACGTCGAATCTGCATCTGCATATATATTGCTGTTTCTTCTCGTTGTGGCTCGCAGTTTGTCGCCGCGGCAACAGGCAATGGAAGATTGTCTCGTTTGAACTGGCAACGCGACGGTGGCTACTGCCCATGCCACAAAACAACTACAATTCCATCGCCATGATCTCGAGGAAAATGTCGGCATGATTAAAGCATGGGATAGGACTTATGGTCGTGATAGCTCAACACACCACACTTACACCCATACAAACCTGGATACCGGTACTTGTCGGTCGAGTATTCGTACTCGTACTCATACTCATTCTTAGTTGCCCACCCGAAATCATGGATGGATTTTTGTTCCTTCAAAAATTTGTTCGGTTCTTGGGGTCAAAACTCCAAAATCGAAATCTGGTCTGTGATCCGTCCGTAAGCGAGAATCGGATCTTTTCAACGTCTATTAACCGTAAAATCGTCGGGACAATCTTGCCGCCCGCTTTCTCAACGGTTCGAAATCTTTTTTCGAACGGAGAATGTACCGTACGTATTTACATACGTACGCACATTCTTATCGATTCTTATCGATTGCGAGTACGAATACTCGTACATACTATGACTACTGGTATCGCAATGTACGTACCGTAGTATTCTCATGTCCATCGGGATTTTTATGTGCTCAGTCATCGAAAGCTACGTACTCTACCAGAAACGTACGTAACACGGTACCGTATCTGGACGGTACTATTTTGCTACAGTACTGCAAAGCAGGTTTTTGGGTCATTTTGATTCATCGTTCTAAAACATGCCTCCTTTGAACCTTCCCGTCTCAATCACGTTTGCTAGGCTAGTTTCTTAGGGCACTACGAGTCGTATCGTACCGTGCGTAAAATTCAAGCCGTTGAATGCAATGCCTCACACACAGTACAAAAGGTACTGAGCGATAGTACTACGATACTCCTATTCGTACCTCTTCATCGGACAACAGACACAAAATCATTGGGAGAACGCACGGCAGGGTTCAATTCGATAGCGCAGTAACATCATAAGAATCTTTCACGAAGAAAGAGACCGAGAACGCTCAAGTCGACTCACTCAAGGGAAGCAGTTTGTTGGTTGCAAATTTTGATTCTGAACAGAAAATGGCGCCGTCATTATCGTATATCCCCGAGCCCCACGAACAGGTACGCGAAGAGAAACAATGACGAGACGAACCGATTGTTGCAACGGTGCTGGAATGTGGCTATCGCACTTTGAAATATTGTAACAATCATACACCGAACTCACCGAGACAGGAAACCGTGTCTTCTTTGTTGATGCAACTGCGTGTTTGCTGTTTGTCGCTTTGGATGTCGCATTGCACGTCCTGAACTTTGCCGCGGTCATTTCGTATGCCATGTTGTAACTGGTAAATTGTTGGTTTTTGCAAATTTGGGACAACGACAAAAACACAATCGCGTGCAATTCGCTGCCAACCGCAACTMGGCTGATTCGATTCGTTTTTCATGATTTGGTCAGGCCTACTACCTGGCCCTCTTCCAGGCCGCCGATGTTCAAAAGAACGGAATCATCAGCGGAGCCGAAGCCGTTCAGTTCTTTGGCCGCTCGAAGCTCCCCATCGAGGTGCTGAAAAATATTTGGACGGTAGCCGACCAGCCCTCGACGAGCAGCCTGGACCACAAGAAATTCGCCGTTGCCGTTCGGATCATCCAGCTGACCCAGAACGGTACCAAGGGATCAGGGCCCACCCTCGCGGCACCCCCCGGTGTCCAACTGAAACCCGCCTTCTTCGAGGGACTGGCGCCACCGCAACAGCAGCAACAACAACCGCCACCACCGACCCCTCAGCAACCCCAGCGAGCCATGCAGCCACCGCCGCAGCCGACGAATAGTCCCCCGCGAACTATGCAACAACAGCCGCAAGTCCCGCCTTCACCCAGCCGGGCACTGGTCGGCATGGACCCGTATTCGCTATCGCCCCAGGAACGATCCCGCTACGAGGGACTCTTTCCTCAGTATGCCAAGACCGAGGCCGATGGAGCAATGTTTGTCTACGGATCCGAGGCCGTCCCGCTTTTCATGAAATCCGGTGTTGATCCCAACAGCCTGAGGGACATTTGGAACATGGTCGACCGAAATCCCGTCGACAACCGACTCGACAAGCTCGAGTTTGCCCTGGCCATGCACTTGATTGTCTGCGTCAGCAAAAAGAACCTGCCGCTTCCGAAGGGAGGCACTTTGCCGAGTTCGCTGCAGGCCCTCAAGGTGGCAGCGGGGGGAAATGCTGCTGCTGCTGCTGCTGCTGCTGCTGAAACCGAAGGTACCCAGAAATCTTACACGTTGGGTGCCGCTGCTGCGGTTCCACCCGCAGCGCCCGCGGCCATCCAGCCTTCGAAATCATTTGGAATGGAAGGTCCGCCGCCCCTCGGGAGCGGTGCCATGGGTGGGGTGAGCATTTCCGACGCTTTTGAGGGACTCAGTACGGAACCGACCACTACAACTACACTCCCTTCGTATGTGCCACAGGAACCTGCAGCAGCTCCCGTTGTTGTTGAGCCCCCCACCCCACAACCCGAGCCGAGCTATGTCGTTCCGCCACAACCGGTGACGGCGGAGACTGTGGAACCCCCCACTCCGCAGCCCCAACCGAGCTACGTACAGCAGCCAGCACCAGTTGCGGAGCCATCAATGGCGGCCTCCACGACACCACCCGCACCAACACCGGCAGCTACGTACGAGGTGAGCAATTCCCACCAGGAAGAACTCGAAAAGCTCAAGGTCGTCTTGCAGAAGCTCAAGGCCGAAAACATTTCCCTCAAGTCCCAGCTAGGCAACATGACAGAGGAGGAAAAGAATGTCCAGCAAGAACTTGGACAGACTGTGGCGGAAATAACTGCTCTCTCGTCCGATCTTGGGGCACAGCGCCAGCAAGTGCTCGAGGCCAAAAATCGTCTCCTAGAGGCCAGGGCCGAACTGAAAGCCCAACAGGGCACGAAGGGGTGAGTCTTGCTGCGTGGATTACGCTTTACGATGTCGTCTTGACAATAACTTAATAGTGGTTTTCGTTTGATAAGTGACGAGCGTTAAAAAATTGGCGTATACAGCCACAACGACTTTTGTCGGCACCGAAGACTAATGCGTTTATTATTGCTCCTCTTCCTTTATTTCCTCTATGGCTGACCCTGTTGGTTTGAACTCTGTCTGCACAGAGTTTTGACCGAACTCATCTCGGAGGCCGAACAGACCAAGGAAGCCATCGAAAGTGCAACGGAAACTCTCCAGTCCAACGCAGCAGCACCACCACCAACCAGCCAGCCTGTTGCAGGACCGGAAGTCGATCTATTTGGCACTAGTGCACCCGCAACCGCAGGAGTTCAAGATTCCCAGGAACCCGAAGGATTTATGAACGAGCACACGATACCTAATGAGACGAAGAATTTGCCCGCCGGAGTGCCCAGTATGCCTGCCCCGTCCTCTGCGGAAATTGCGGCTCCTGGCACGCCCACGCGCCCACCGCAGCCGATGGAACAACAGCAACAAATAGCACAAGCACCACCACCAGCAATGTATTCAAATTATGCTGCTCCTGCTCCTCCACAAGCACCCCAACCGGCTCCACCTCCTATGCCATCTCCGATGCCCGAGCGTTCTCACGCGCGAGAGCAACAATACCTGAGCCCTACCAATCTCAACCGACCTCCAGTTCCGGGACATTTCCGTCAATCTTCGGGATTTGACTCTGGCTTTCTCATGGGAGGATCGCCAACCGTAGTCTATCCGGATTCGGGAGCCCCCGACGCCGATAACGTATCGCAGGCGGCCTTCTCTCACGCGAGCACGGGAGATTATGGCTATGACGATCAAGCCTTTGAGGTTGTAGAGGGAATGAAAAAGAGAGCAAAGGCAGCCGACGGGGTCGCACGGGATGCCGAAGCAGCCTCTAGCAAGCTAGCTGCCGAAGCCGACGAGCTTCGTGCGGATGCCGATCGTGCGGAGGCCAATTACCGAAGTCTCATGGCGGCTGCCGAGGAGAAGAAAAAGGGGCGCTTCGGCGGAGGCAAGAAGAAAAAGATGATGGACGGAGCCGAACAAGCCGGTAAAGACGCTGCTGAAATCAAGAAACACTTCATGGAGATCCAAGGTCGCGCTCTCGAGGCCGCATCCGTGGCGGCCCAAACCAGAGAGGAAGCAGATAAGCTTCTGGTCGAAGCGGAAGCAGCCGAGCTGAAAATGGCAGCGGTTGCGTCCGCTCAGCAAAAGCAACCTGCACCAGCTCCTGTTCCAGCTCCGGCGCCCCCTCAGACGAATGACTACTATGGTGGCAATATGGCTGCCCCACCTAAAACTGGTGCGATGCCGATGCCTCAGTATGGCCAAGCGATGCCTGCACCTACTCCAATGGTAGGATACAACGGCTACAACGGCTACAACGCAAATGGGGGTGCAGTCCCTGGTGATGGTTACGGGCAACAACAACATCAGAACTACGGACAAGCATCACAACCTCCTGGACCAATGGGCGCCAATGGGGGCTACGATATGCCGCCCCCTGCAGCCTTTCAGCAAATGCAACCGGCAACCGCTGCGCCGACAGCTGGCGGGGAGCTCTACGCGAACCCTTTTTGATTTTTACTGATGGAAATGGTGCGTTAGATTTAGTGAATTTGGAGACATGTGCTGCGAACGGCATCTAAAAGTAGAGCAATATTATTATTTAACGAAGTTGCATGTTGTTATCATTGTTTCGAATGACCATACGCTCTACTAGCGATCGTCTACTTTGTTTGGGAAAATATGGAAAGCAAGCTTTTTGGTAAACATTTTATAGCACTTCCGAATAACTAGGGTTAATCTCGCTACTGATTTTGCTATATATTTAAAGGGTTGCGTGCGCAACTCGCTAACAAAATCAATCATTTTTTAATAGGGTCATGAACATGGATAATGGTGTAAACATAAACTTCTTGTTCTTCATGCTATGCATAAAATTGGTATTCTTATTCCTCAAACTTCCTCCATACAAGTAGTAGTAGCTAAAGGGTACGCAAAAATCAACTTGAAAATGGCACGGACACAATCCTCCTAACAGTATTCCTGTACTCGTACTTGGTACTATCTTTGATCAAGTTCTTGCTACTGCTGCTAAATCCATTTTGGGAAATTTTTGTTTTCGGTACCAGTGAAGGAGTGTCAATTTCAACGCTTTGCGCATTCCTCTAAATCATGTGAGGATGAAGTACAATCACTAGCTAGTGAATAACCTCACCCTTTATTGTAAACACGTAGTTATACGGCACAACAGTAAAGAGCATACATACATTTCGCAGGTTATGAGCAACTTAAAGACTTACCTCATCACCTCATCATCACACTAAGTCTTCTGCATGAGTGGATTGATTTAACACTTCCCCCATACAGTCGGAACTGTCTCCAGACTCCAGAAGCTTCGAACTGCGTGTCTTTTCCCCAAATTTTCGGAAAATTCGGACAGAACAGTACATACAATCATGACATTCTAGCTAGCTGCAACGCGAATCCAAAAAAGAGTAGTACGTATTCTATTCGGAAACTAATCTCGAGAAAATCAGCTTTCATATGCCCAGTGTCGAAGACAGAATCTGTTCCTTTGTTTTATATGGTATTAGTCCTGAAGAATATATAACAATGTAATTCCTAAGTACGATCAAAAGCCCCTACGCAAGAATTGAGACTTCTTACATCGGAGCGGTAACGTACGTGAATCAACGTAAGAAAAGTACTGACCAATCCGGTTATCTACAGGAAGTGTCTCCTTCTCATAAAGAGCGAAGGAGTAAATTGACATTTTTGTAAACCTTCGACAACGTGGAATCAAAAGAGAAACACAACCACCGTCGATCGGCTACACCCCTTTTTTCATTCTCTCGAGCAACGGTGTTGTCGCTAATTTTTCTGATCGTCTACCGACTTACGCTATATCTTAGAGTACTTCGTATTGAAATAAGCACGATCGGCCTCATCTGCCAACCGCTTTGAAAAGGAATGTGGAACAGTATCCTGTGGATATGACAAATTTTAGCGATGAACAACAGATTGCTTTAGCCGTTGTACCAAAAATAAGTGGCACGTTATCTTTGCTCGGTTCAACTTGGATCGTCGTGGAAGTGATCACACAAAAGAAAAAACGGAACAATGTGTACAGTCGGCTCATATTAGCCATGTCGAGCGTTGACATTTTGGCTGATGTTTCCTACTTCGCAAGTACTTGGGCAATCCCAGCAGGTACTGACGGGATAGCTTTCGCAAGTGGAACCGACGCTACATGTAGTGTTCAAGGATTTATTTTGCAATTCAATATCACAACGCCAATATGTAAGCATTATCATTGCAGTTTTGTAGGAATATGAATATGACAACGTGTCGTACTAACAAATTGATCTTCTTCCATTCAAATCCCAACTCGATTTGAGATAGACAATTCTTGCCTCGCTCTATATTATTTGCTGGTGATCAAGTACAAAGTTTCAGAAGACCGACTTGAATATAATGTCGAACCTGCCATGCATATTTTTTCTGTTGGCTTTGGTCTATTGACAGCAGTAGCTTGCGCATTTATGGGTATGTATCATAATGCAAACTTGTGGTGCTGGATAGCTGCTGCACCAGCTTGTCCTTACGATCAAGAACCGCACCAAATCGACAATTGGCAACACTACGAAGAGAAAGCCGACAAATGCGAAGAAAGTAAATATGATGATGATGTTGATGTCTATCGTCTAGCATTTTATTTTGGACCGTTGTGGCTCTGCATGGTGTTCATAACAGTTACCATGGGAATGCTGATCTGCGCCGTAAGCAGAATAGGATGTAGCAAAAAGAGTATCGCATCTTGTCTCAACCGACATAAAAATTCACGCCAAAAAGCGAATACGGATTCTCGAAAACACGAAAATGATTCAGTTGAGGAACAAAGCGAGGGGGATGAGCAATCTAATTCATCAATCTCTGGGGCAGGGGATGCTTTCAAACGCCAAAAAGCGAATTCGAATTCTCGAAACCACGAAAATAATTCAGATGAGGAGCAAAACGGGGGGGATGAGCAATCTAATATATCAATCTCTGGGGCAAGAGATGCTTTCAAAAGCGATCGCCGGAGCTCATTTTTCATACCAGCAAAAAAAAAGAAGCGGAAGACACCGAGAAACGAAAATACTACACATGTATTGAAGGTCTTAGAGTCGTATCTAACTGCTTCGCAACAGGCCAAAAACTCACAATCATACGGCTCACGAGTTGTTTACAAGCAGGCCATATACTATACATTGGCATTTTACGCAACGTTCACCTTTGCCACGATAAATCGGGTCTTTCAGCATTTTGGGGTCTCATTCTTTCCCTTTATTCTGCTTCACAGTTTCACGATACCGCTGCAGGGATTTTTTAACTTGGTTATCTATCGGTACTTCCACTTTGTTCGTCTCCGGCAGCGAAATCCATACGTGCCATTTCGAATATTATTGCAGTGGACGTTTCGATGGACGTTCCTGGGTCCACCACCGGGAGCTAGACGCGATTCAAGCCAAAAATTTCAATCTTTTGAACTTCCAAACAATGGCAAATCAACGAAATCACGGTCTTTTGGCCCAAGCGGGGCTTTTGATTCTCACAACTGTGAGTATAGTGAAGGAAGCGATTCTGTCGTCGATGACGATGCGGAACTGGAGCGAATGCCTCGAATTGAAGATGAGTTTGAAAATAGTTTCTGGTTTGATTACACTCCTAGTGCGGAATTGGCATACGAATACCACACCACCAGAGCGCTTAATAACCCTGCTCAGTATCCTTCAACTCTCAATAACGTGCCTACTCAGTATCCCACGATGGTCACTGACTTTGATTCGGATGATTAGCTAAGCTACAATAGATATTGTGTTGTACACTAAAATTTTTAGATTTCTCAGTGGAAAAAAACAAAGTTTTGATCTAGCGCACACTACGCAATGTCCACAAAAAAACATTATTTCTCAAGCGAACTGAGGCTTTTCTTGCATCTAACGCTATTCGAATACAATCGAGCAATAATACATCGGCATCACTATCTGCAATACACAGCCTTCATTTTCCACACGAATCCTGATCAAATGGGCACTGCCATCGTGAGAGTACAAGAAATGGCTTGAGCAGGAACAGCAAGTGATATCCGATTTGATGCGAAGCGTTGAAGAATTCTCGCAGTTCTGATATGCATTTCTACTGCGTCTAGCTCTCGCTCAGCGTAAACTTGTAAATAGTAAGTGCATTACTTTATTAGTAATATAGTTATTCTTTCTTTCGTACCTCCCGTGGTGGCGCTGAGGATCGATTCGAGATCCGGGCGAGTTTCATTTTCTCCAGCTCTTCTTTTCTGCTGCTGCTGGCGTTGGCCTTGAAGATTTCCTGATAGCCGTCGTACGTGGTTTCGTCGTAGTTTTCGCCGCTGCCGGAGGACGGTGCAGAGCCGGATCCTTCCACCTCATCGGTCGGGATGCCATTGCTCGGGGGAGTCTCGACCTCTGCTTCCTCTTTTTGTTCTTGTTGCTCTAGGCTCTCGAAAAACTCTCCCGGCTGCACATAGGGTGGCATTTCTCGAACTTTTCCGGTCTTCTTGCACACGTGGGAAATCCGAAAGCCGGGATCGGGTCGGGTGTCCTTGATGTCCTGGTCGGGAAGGTCCACCTTTTGCTTGGCTTTGTTCTCGCGGATGGATTCGTAAAGCAATTCGAGCCTGCTGGCATCGTCACCGGCGTCCTCGTCTCCTTCGGGTGCGTCGTTGTCGGCGCTTCCGACGGTGATCGCGTCGGCCGATCCGTCGTACGGAACCGTCGTTTCTATCTCCTCTGGCGAAGGGGCCGCGGGGGACGACTCGTCGGAATCCAACACCCGGAGTTCCCCGAGCGCCGTTTCTTGCTCCGAGTAATAGAATTTGAGAGACTTGTCGTCGCCGTCTCCTCCCGACGAGGAAGGGCTCCCCCCGGTGTGATCGGAAGTGCTCTCGCTGCTGCTGCTGCTGCTCTCGCCATCCAGTCCCTCAAAGACTTCCGCATCCTCCCGCCCCATCATGGCTGCTTTTTCGAAGAGATCCTCGGTCTCCGAATCGATGCCATCGAAGCCGTCGCTGCCAAAGAGTGATTTTCGGTCTTTTTGTCGCTCTTCCCCCGCCGATCGTGCCGTCGAATACGATCCCAGCTCGGTTCCGACAGCCGCCGCTACCCCGGTCCCCGACTTGCGCTTGTGCACCGGATACATAGAGGCGGCGTACCGAGCGTTTGCGGCCATGCGCTTCCCGCCCTCCGGAGAGGTGAATCGGTCCCAGGCAAAGGCCTCGAGCATCGCCTCGTCGTCTCGGGACAACAGAGTGTTCCCTTCACCCTTGTTCTGGCTCGCAATAAGGGTGGCCAGCAAGTGCCCCGTCTTGGGTGCCAGCAAGACCCCGTTTCTCCAGTAGCCGCCCGCCAGGTAAAGGTTTTCCCACGGGGTTTCTCCCAGGATCGGCCCCTTGTCGGGCGTGGTCGGCCGCAAACCCGCCCAGGTTTCCTCGATCGGGAGGTCCGCCAGTCCCGGCACCAGCTCGAGGGCGTACGAGAGGACGTGCATGATCCCCGCCGGGGTCACGGCGGAATCGAAGCTCCCGGCCTCGACCGTGGCTCCGATGACGATCCGCCCGTCGGCCTTCGGGACGATGTAGGAATCCCCCCCGAAGAGGACCCGTTTCAGGATCGGTGGGCGGTCCTTCGGCATCCGCAGCGAGAGCGACTGCCCCTTGTGGGGTTCCAGCGGGACCGGCAGGAGGTTCCTCATCCAGGCCCCGTTCGCTACCAGAACCGCCTTGGCCGATACGTACCGGCCGCTCTCGGACCCGAGCCAGAAGCCGTTGCACCGGCCGTCCTGCAGGTCTAGGGAGGTCACCTCGTTGCGCGGGCCGCAGAGGAACTCGACCCCCGCCCCGACGCAGGCGGCCTTGAGCGAGCAGGTCAGGCGGCGCGCATCCACGCTGGCGTCCTCCGGGAACCACCAGCCCCCCACCACGTCGGGGTGCAGGTGGGGCTCCAGCTCCCTTGCCTGGGTCGCGTCCAGCCACACCGCGGAGGAGGCCTTCGTTTTGCGTCCGCCGTCCTCCTCCTCGGGAGGCGCCCACGTCGCCACGCTGTCCCCGGCAAAGGCGGGCGCGAAGAAGCCTCCGGATGCCACGTAGCCAATGTTCCAGGGATCCAGGCCGCTCCCGTCGTCTTGGGTGAGATAGGGGAGGCCCTCCGGGCCGGATTCCTGCGCCATCCCCTCCACCAGAGACGTAAAGTCGGCGTACATGCGCCTCGAGGCCATGCAGAGGTCCCGGTAGTCCCCCTTGGGCAGCCGCTCCGAGTTCGGTGCCAGCATCCCGGCGGCCGCCATGCTCGCCATGTTTCCGGCACCCGGGATGTTCCCGTCGTCCTCGTTCTTGTCGAGAACGGTGATGCGCCGCTCGGGATCGATCTGGGTGAGGTAGAGGGCCGTCGAGAGACCCGCCAGGCCGCCGCCGACGATGACCACGTCCTTGTAGAGCTGGTTGGATCTCCTAAGGGGCACGCTCGGGACCATGGACGACGGCGCGGGCTGCGAGGGAGGATTTGGCGAGAGAGAAGAGGAATGGGACAGTTTGCTGGTGCTTCCGTCTCGCGGCGACGACGAGGACGGCGACGACATTCGCAGATTGGTTCCCGCCACTCTGGCCGGTCGGAACGACGAGGGCGCATGCCAGGCAGTGACAATCCCAGCGAGACCTAGCAGCAGAGCCAGTGCCGACGTAGGCTTCGACGACGAGAATTGCATCGTCGCCTTGGTGTTTGTTGTTGAGTGATGAACCTTCCTCCTCTGTCTATCTATCTCTATCTTTCTCGCCCGGAGAACGAAGGGAATGCGGTGCTATTAGACTGTAACCGAGGCGTATGTCCGAGGAACGCGTTTGTCCTTTTGCTCTAAGATTTCATCTATTCGGTGTCCAAGGGATGAGTGTAACAAGATACGCGCATGCATCTATCTACGGTACGGACACTCTGCAATAGCGACAGGAACAGGTGATGTGATGTCAGTCAGCAAGAAAGCCAACCGAATGAATCTGTGGATACAACCGTGGGGTACAAGGTACGTACTTACGTACGGTACATCAACGCAGCGGATTCGGATGGGTGTCAGAGCACGCTGCGCTGCGCTACGAGTTCGTGCGTTTTTATTTTTCATAGTGAATGAATAATTCATTTTTCACGGAAATCGCGCGATATTTTTTCCTATCCCGCGCGATTTTTCCGCCCTTCCTTCGTTATGTGCGATTGATGGGATTAGGCTAGGGATGATCTTGAATCTTGAAAAGCGTCCAATCGTTCTACGGTATGAAATCACAAATCACCCATCGTCCATGGGATCGATCGCCTTTTCCTCTGGAAGAAAACAAGGGCGTACAGCAACAATGGAACACGGCGATCAAGCCACCGCAACCACGGCGACTGCTCCCGCCACCGCCGAAGCCGGCAAGGGATCCGTGACGCTCCTGATCGAAAACCCGGGAAAGGGCAAGAACTGGGGTCCCCTGCTGAGGTGCTGCGCCGCCTTTGGGATCGGAACGATATTTGTGGTGGGCTACGATCGGTGCGACGTCCGGGGTTCCCACGGGGCTTCGAAGCACGTGCAGCTGAAGGCGTTTCCGACGCACGAGCAGGCCGCGAGCGCCCTAAAATCCGGGGGATTCGAGCTCGTGGGGCTGCTGTCGCCGTTTCCCGACCGGGGCGAAAGCATCGACAACGACAACGACAACGACGACGGCGCCCGGGAGGTGGTGCGGGAAACCTTTTTGCATGTACCGACCGAGACCGAGATGGACGTTGTCCGGATCGTTGAAGCCGGTGCACCCGCCTCTCCGGACGGCCCATGCAACGAGCCAAAGAACACGGAACCGCAACCGCCGGTGCATTCCGAAACCACCAACACCGGTGCTGGTGACGGTGCGCTCCCTTCTCCGGTCCACCCGGCCCCGCTCCGGGACCGGCGGTCCTTCCCCGCGCACCGCTCGGGGGACCTCCCGGCGAGGACCTGCCTGGTCGTGGACAAGCTCCGGCGCGGCCTGCCCTGGTCCCTGGCAAAGCACTGCGGATCCTTCGTCCACGTTCCCCACGCCAACTACCAGGCCCGCGACACCGGGGGATCGATGCTGACCCTAGAGGCCTCCGTGTCGATCGTCTTCCACGAGCTCCTCGGCTGCGAGACCCCCCGGAGGGGCTATTCCGGGGAGGATTCGTGGGCGAGCGGCGGCGCGGGGGATCCCTCGTCGTCGTCGCCGTCGTCGTCGGGCTACGAGGGCCAAAAATACAACGTCGAAAGGGTGTACAAGGGCGGGGATCCGGGGGACGAGCGGGCGAGGCAGAGGAAGCGAAAGGAGCGGGAAGAGAAGCTGCGGGAGCTGCAAACCGAAGCGGAGGAGCCACGGCCGTCGCTCTTTGGGGCAGACACAAACGACGACGGAGATTACTAGGAAGACCCCACAAAAGAAAACACGGCGGAACCCGTCGGGGGAAGGCACGGCACGGCACAATAGAACATACCACGCGCACATCGGCCCTGTTTGGTGGAAACCGGCACGGTGCTGGCTGCATTCGCGCAACCGAGCGAACGCGTTCTTGCGTTCCCTTTCCGCCGCCCGTATGATGAACCCAACTCCGCGGGAGGCGTGGAATAGGAAACACATGGATGCGCTTCTTTGCAACAAGAATGACGGCTGGTCGTTTGGATTCGAATGATGCGCCACAGGTCTCCACAACCCACTACCATACTTAGGCGTCGACCCAAAATGTTTTAATAGCTAGAGAGAAGAAAAAATACGTGCTGGAACCTAGACACCGGTTGTGGCCCGACATCGCACACCTCGCTCTCACTCCTTCTGCAATGGCATAATCCGAACGAATCATACTTTCGTTGAGTCAACATCGCTTTTTCCTAAGTACTGGTGCAAACTTTGTTGATCATATATGACAAGATAGTCTACATTTTTTATTACATTTTTTTGTTCAACATCGATTTTGAGCAAATGATCGATTTGAATTTTTGAATCAATAGAGATCGTGGCTTTTTTTCATTCTCTTTCGCAATGGTTTGAATCATATTTGATTTGAACTCTATTCTCTTCTATTTTTGTTCGTCTGATGCTGTGATCAAATAAAGCTGGTGCCATTTGCCTTGCTTTATATGAAGCATTAATTGCATTGGAGGCTTCTCATGGTATTTCTACTCAGATGGCGCGAGGCAGTTCTCGTCACGCAAGCATCAACCGAGTTTGTAAACTCCTAATTCAGTTTTGTCAAACACTGGAGGTTTAATGTCTTCGACGACGTCGAACCCGTCCGCGTTGTTGCCCGTAGCCATCATTGCCGTAGTTTCCATAGTTTGCGGTTCCGTAATTAGGGGTTCCATAGTTAGCCGTTCCGTAGTTTGCTGTTCCGTAGTTTTCCGTTCCGTAGTTCGCCGTTCCGTAGTTTGCAGTTCCGTAATTTGCGTTACCATAATTTGTACCAATAATTCCATCGTTGCTGGTACCAGAGTCCAAAGTGCCGTAGTTTCCGTAGTTGCTAGTACCGTAGTTGGTTGTCTCAGTATTGCTCGAACTTTCCATTCGAGCATCGGCAGATACTTCAGATATCTTTTCCAGTTCTTGTTCTATAAATTCAATAATTCATATTGAAAGATAATAAGAAAGAGAGATGATGAGATGTGGTATATCAACGTTGAAAACCATAACATTACAGTGTAGAATCTGAGAGTTGCACTTTCAAGCTCATAACATACCTGTGTCGTAGCTCATGATGATATCCTTTATTCTGATTACCATCGTTTGTACTTTGGACAAGAAAGATAGTCTTCTTTCACCAGTATGTGACTTCATATTTGCCGTTCTCGAAGTATCGGCATTCAATCGTCGAGAAGAATCAGAGGCAACTGCGAATCCTTTTTTGGCAGCAACAGCATCCATGTGCTCAACACCAAGGAGATATCTCTGTTGACTGACTCCACCAAGGTCTTCGATTAGGACATCCAGGCAATCGTAAAATTTTCCAGGAGTGTGGATAATTAAAGGCTCTGTCCCAGTTTCGGTATGGATGAGAGACAAGTTATCACCTTGGCTTTCGAATACGCATCCATCAACGAGGCCTCTTGGCCATTGATTGTTGCCAAACATTTCTTGTTTGTAATCAAGTTTGATCATTTCTGGAAAATGGTACATCAAACCTGACAAAACAGCCTGATCATCCTCGTAGGAATGAATATCCAGAACATTCAAAAGATTGATTAGATCCTTAGGATATCCGGCCATAAGACCAGCGTTGAGATAAGCATCAGAAGGATCTTCGCCAGTGGTATTGAATGCCAAGTCTTCCATAAATACTTGCCATTCTTCGATGTTTTGGTTAGGATACCATAGGCAGTCCGGCTTCGCTGATGAACAAGATCGTCCCGTTCGTTTCTTCGTGACAGGATCAAAGTAGTCTCTTGGATGGCTATGAGCCATGGCAGACACGCAGCATTGTGCCTCCGCTGACATAACTACTGCGTTTGGAGCATTTGCAGTTAGTTTATTGTAAGTTTCCACGAAGTTATCGACGATGAGGGATGCGACTGCTTTGTTGTTGGGAACATTTAGAATAACATCACGGGCATCTGCCAAGACGACCAGTTTGTCCTCGTCCATGACCTCAAGAAGAGGCTTCAACGTTTGATACTTGTCACCAAATCCACGGTAAGCTAGCTTTTCTCCGTAGATAGTGGTCTGGAGATTGGCAACTTTGCTTCTTTGTTGGAAAAATTGTAACGGGGAAATAGGATCCTTCCGAAGAGATCCATCCGTTTCGTACATCAGTATCATGACATCTTCACGAAGTTGGGCGTTGTTGTCAACTACGGCATGGACGCAGATGCAGGCGGAAAGCAGCAATCCAAATTTCAAAGCTAAGTTAGAGAACATCTTCTTCTTGATGAGTACTAAAATCGAAATTATGGGGAAAATATCCAGGAATTTTCCTTCGAACTTTGAAGTAGGTGTGTTTACTTCTGTACGATGGCAAGCAACCTTCGTTATCTAATACAGTAGTGATGAAATGAGATTTATTGACGAACCCGTAACGATAAAAGTGGCGATGGGATTGCTTTTTCAATGGTGAAGAAGAAAACTGGTAGTAGAAAATAATGTTGATGCCATCAAAAAATACTATCACCGTTAAAAAATGTAAGCTTATATTTATATATTATTCATATTTTAATACTATTATGAAAGGAAATATGTATACGAATTTCAATATCACCACTTTCATTGGTCAACTCCAACAGAAAATGAGACCGTAATAGACGATTGTTAACGGCATCAGATGTCTAAAAACGCAACGATTTCTTCCACAGTACCTTACGTACCAAAATGACATTCAGACGAGTAACGGCATCATCTGAAGAATGCATTTCGCTTAACGGTCGAAAAAAAAAAAGAAGTACAGGAGAATGAAACTCGATGGTCTATTACTTCGTATGAATTGAATGAGCCTTATTTGTACGATAGGTTATACTTGTTCATGAATTCGAATATACACTGGAAGACCAGCACTTGCTGTTCAAATGACTGTACAAAGTTATTTGCAATTAAGTTAGTATCGTCACAGGTGATTCAAAGATGGAAGAAAGATGGGCATCATGATGGACTTCTTCAATTGTTCCCTTTCTGAAAAGCTTGTTGTTGACCTTGGATTTGCTTGTGTTTGAATGGATGGCAAAGATGGCACTGGTGAGGGTGAACTTGCTTTCCTTCCAAACCAGTTGAATCAGATTGTGAATCTTGTTGAGAGAGGATTTACTTTAGACGGCTGTTCTTCCTATCTTGCAGGAGGTCAAGCACCCACAAGGTATAGGCCTGCTAGCAAGAATAATTTCTGTGGTACTGATCACACAAACAAGACCAGCTGGGGAATCACTCTTGTTGCTGCTGGAAGCAACAACACAGCTGGATTTCCTCTTGTCCTGCACTCTCAGCTGAAGTCCACTGCAAAAGAAGAAGAAGGCAAGCAAATCCACACAGTTTTTATTGCTGGTGTCCCAAAAACAGAGGGTGTATATGGTTGCACCAGCGGACAAGTTGAAAACTGTATTACTGTCAACTGGTGAAACAAAACGTTATGAAGCTGTCATTTCCAGATGCAGGTGATATTCCAGAGCGACAAGTTCTTTTAATTTTGGACAGAGGTCCAGGAAGAGAATACAAAGAGTTGCTGGTGAAGCTCTGTGAAAAAGGTTTGATCTTCTTCCTGGTGTGCCCAACACAATGCATGTGACACAACCAACCAACAGAAACAACTATGGACTGTTCAAATCAATCTACAGACAAAATTTGGAAAATCTTGTGTTAAAGGTGGTATGGGCCAAGATTGGGATTGTGCTGTTTTCTAGATGATGCCTTCACTTCTTGATGACCAAAAAGTTGCTCACAAAATTACTATATGGCCAGACAGTAGCATTGATATTGACACTAGTAATCCTAAGACAGGGGAGCTTATTGAATGGGAACAAGTGAATGATGCAGCAATCCAAGTACTCAATGATGCTGGATTTAATGAAGAGATTTACCAAAGATATGCCCCAAGGCTATCAGCATCTACAACACCAGTGACAAAAGCTGGGACTAGGGAACAGCAAGATGCAATTGGAAATATCAAATACTCCAGTAAGCTCTTTTTTGGGACCAAATGTGATACACTAAACAGTGATGACTATTTCATTGCAGAAGAAAGAAAGAGGCAACAATGGCTTGTTAAGGAGCTAGAAGCAGTAAAGAAGAAATCCCAAGCAGTGAGTGTGTTGAATGCAAAGGCAACCAGAGTGATTGAGGAATATCAAAGGGGAAAGATGTGTACAAGGAGGAAGATACCAAGTCACTTCCAATTTCAAACACTCAAACTGTTGTGCCAGTGGAAACAAGAACAGAAGAAGATCCATGCAAAGAAAGACACTATATTTGGTATGTGGATGGAGGTCAGGAATGTCCCTCCTGCAGAGCCTTCCTGGAGGGACTCTGATGAAGCTCAAATGCAGAATCTGAAGGAAGAAGGCGTCACAATCAGGTACACTGCATTAGGAAGGGAGAGAGATAGACAATAAGATGAGGCTCTAACCTGCCTGCTTGCAGGGATGACTGTGGAGGAAAGAGCTGCTTTGAAAAAATCCAGTGTCAGTTCTGGAGGCTGTGAAGGGGGGGGGGGGGGTAGTTGAAGAAGTCAAATAAGGGAGGCCCAGTAGTTAGTAGCACCTAAGAGTGAGCGCCCCAGTACTAGTAAGAAATTTATGTTAGGAGAAATCTGTTCTTGGAATTGATTTCAATTTCAATTTTTATTCCATGTTAATTGCAGTGTCAGGATATCAATTTTGTTTTGCTGATCTGAATTCTCAATATCAAAAAGTGAGCTCAGAAACACTCCAAAATAGAAAATCCTTCAATTGAAATAGTTTCTTTTTTGAAAGTGAGACGGGTTGAAGGTGAGGGTGTTATATATTGTGCTGTTCTTTACATAAGCATGTGTAGAGATAGTACTGCATTATGCCTGTCACACAATATGTAACACCGCAACCTTGTACATACATAGTGGTTTCAGTCAGAAGTACAAGTATTTGAAGGAGTCAGAATAGAAAATTTGCTCTATCCTCACTATTTCAAAAAGACGAAAGATAGCCTATTTTGGGGGCTTACCCCATACCAAATATACCAAGAAACATACCAGAAGCCAACATTATTTTTCACCAGCACAAGGTTGTACTAATACTTCTTGTACTTCTCACTTGCAGAATCTTGTTGTTTCTTTTCTCCTGAATTGCAATTAGTTGTAGTAGTAGAATTTTCCATAAGAAGGAGTATATACTACTACAAGTACTAATGAGTACCTTGAGGAGTGTGCAACAGCAGCCGAGAGAGGTCAAAATTGGAAAAGCCAACACTGACCACCACAACACAAAGAACAGTATGATCCAAGAAATATAGAAAATGGTGCACCCCTTCTTCCAATATCCTCTGCTGTCAACAGTTCAATTAGAACATACATCCTCAATCAATCTAATTCTCACAACATTGTACACCAATTTTTAAAAACTTGATATTATGTTTGACCTCATGAACTCTTACTAGTAGAAGAGACAATATGTTGAACAAAGCCATTACTACTTAGGGAGAAGAATTTTCCATGCTGCTCATCCAAGGGGCAGCGCCTCTCTCCAAAGAGCGTTTGTGGACAAGTGACCAGGTTCTATAAATACTGAGAAGCCAATGAAGGGCTGGGGCTTGACTCAGAGGGCATAGAAAAAGTTGGTTCACAGTTTGGATTGTTGAGAGCTACGCCACAATCATTTTAAGGTGTGCTGTCAAACCAGAAAGCAAGTCCCTCTGTAGTGATGAAGGAAACAAGTGCCAATCACACTGCCAAGCCAGTTAAGGCAAGAACTCCCACAGTGTACAAAGACACAGGTGGTGTGTAGTGGTCATAAAAAAGAAAAAATTTTAAGCCAAAAGAAAAAAGAAAGCCAAAAAGAAAAAGAACATTAACAAACTGCTGACTTGGTCTTGGTGTAGTTGGGCCCACATAGTGATCAGTTGTGAGGATATTTTGGAGAGCTACAAGTGCCAATGGTGGCAGTATTGCTGCAGGAGCAACTCAATGGTGTGAAACCCCTTCTTGGACAAGAGGAGAACTGGGGATAGTTTGATAAGATTTTGAATGGGTTTTGAGTGGGTGTTTTTGCGCTAAAACACAAACATTGACTGGGACATGGAGTTGAGGCAGGGGAAGCTTCATTTAAAACAGAATGATCATATGTAGCATATAATACAGTCAATGGTCTTCAAAAGAATTCTGGTCTCCTGGGTTGGATACTTTGTGGGGCCAGGGTTGATGTTGCTGCTACCCAGCACAAATATTCAAAACAAAACATCATGACCAGATCATGACCAGAGACTTCTTCTGGTCCATACCAACTGGGACAGGGGGGAAGGATGCTGATCTTATCAGTATCAGCTTGGTTGGGTTGCTTTAAGAATAGGAGCTTGTTGGGTTGTTGTCTTCAAAGGTCTAGTACTATTATGGATACTGGGGGCTTGGGTTGGTGTTGGTGTTTTAGAACAACAACATTGTGACCAGTGACTGTAATGACTGGTGCATGGAGCTGACGCTGGTGAATGAAAACTGAGTGTGTAGCATAAAAACCAGGCATTGTTTTTCAAAGAAAAGGTATTGGTTGAACACTGGGGACTTGGGTTGTTGTTCTTCTTGTTGTTGTTTGGTACAAATGCCAGAAAGAGCAAATTCAAGACTGGAAGATACTTCTGGAGATACAGGGAATGGATCCATCTGAAACGAACTGCCATCAGCTGGGGGACTATTAGTAGTAGTAGGAGGAAGGGATAAGGATATTGATATGGATCAATTAGCTTACTTCTTGTCTTTAATGGAGGTCACCAGAGAAGTGGATTTTCCCCTTCACAAGAGTAGGTCACCATGTTGGTGGGTTGGAGGCCAGCAGAAGGTGCAAGTCGAGTATGTACTACTACTACTATGTAGGAATCAGTAGAAAATCTAGGTAATAATTTTCTGAACGGAAGTGTAAGTTTGTGCCTTTGAAAAATTATTTTGAAAATCATATCATTGCACACTAGTTATTCCTTGGTACCTTAGCCACCCTCCCACCCCTTGTACATGTTTTAGAATGAATGCCATGTTACTACTTTCTCTTAGGTTGATCAGATGGCAGTACTACTAGTAGCACTACTACTAGTGCTAGGCACACTATCTTAAATTTCCTCTAACAAAGAAATACTTTCCCTCCTACCATTATCTTCTTATCCACAACTTACTAAAGTTATTCTGCATCATAGTAAGTGTGTAAAGCAAGAAACTTGCATTGTCAGTGATGGGAATATGCATTAATTTGGTAGATAACAACCTACTACCGCTTGGTGGCATTTGAGACATTTGGCTGATGATATGATGGTTTTGCAGAAACTTAGCAGGGTTTCGTGGATATAAATTAGTGGAATGCAAAGACATTTGGCAGGCATGGGTGCCACATGCAAAACAAGCATGTTTGGCAGAATTGTTAATTAGTACTACTACAAAGGCCCCATTTGGTACCCTCAGTATGATGCCTACAATATTTTTTCAATCCCCTAGCTGATTATCCCCAGCAACAACAAGGATAATCACTAATAGTATCACTAGAACTAGTTTTGCCAGCAACAACAAGGATAATCACGAATAGTATCACTAGAACTAGTTTCAATTGAAGACTACTACTAGTATTGCACTACTGGTTTTGATTCAATAATGATTCAGCAGGAGCATATCAGCATTGTGTAGTGACTTGAAAGTTCTAGCCCTGGATTTCCCTTACCCAAAAAGGAATCTGAAGACCCAATATGAACCTCTTATGAATCTATTTTTCATTTTGTTTCAGCTTTTGGATGAGAGTAAACTGTCACTTTTGAAAGGGCAAATCTGCTGCTGATTTAACTACAAGAAATGACTGCAAATATGATATTCCATTCCGATAGTTTTAATTTGAATATCTAGTACACTTTCATTACTGCATATTTTCCATTTTTCCATAGGGTGACACATCGGAAGCCGATTTACGAAGTATCCGTTGTAAATATTCGACTGCCACACAATATCATAAATAGAAGCACTCGTCCTTGCTTCTTATCGGAGTTGAGTTGAATAGTTCGGTTTGTCTGATGCTTTGTTTCCATTCTACACAAACCGTCTGCGAACACTACCATAGTTTCCGTATGAACCGTAGTTTCCGTAGCTACCATAGTTTGTCTCGTCGTCTTCGGAGCATTTGTCAATGCAGAAGTCTACACAAATGTCTGCTGCAGCACCATAATTTCCGTACTGACCATAGTTGCCATATTGGCCATACTGGCCATACTGACCATACTGACCGTAGTTGCCATATTGACCATACTGACCGTAGTTTCCGTAGTTTGTGGACTCTGTAAATTCGACGAAAGAATCTTCAATCACGAGCCGCGAAAGTTCCTTTTCGTCCTCAATTTTTGGCTTTTTCTCTTCTTCCGTTCTTTGGTGGATTTCATCGGTGAAATAAGTCTTCATTACGCCCCAGAGGCCACTCAGAAGATGCCTTCGACTTTCACAAATACATTCGCAGTTTTCTGTGCTCTGGAGACTGCGGGGAGGGAATGCAGAAAAGCTTGTTGATTCGGCGGAGATTCCTTCTCTCTCAAGAACTCTTGGATTTCCTTCCGGGCTGTCAGAGAGGTATCTTTGTTGGCTTACTCCTCCCAACTCTTCGATGAGCATGTCAAGGCATCCGTAGAACTTTCCGGGAGTGTGAACGATTAAAGGCTGGGCTTTTGTTTGGCGATGGATGAGGGCGTTGTTTTCTCCTTTTTCGAAGATGCAACCTTCACTCAATCCTCTGGGCCACTGGTTGTTTCCAAACATAGCTTGGTCGTAGTCAAGAATGATCTTATCAGGAAACTGGTACATCAGACCGGACAACACTGCTTGATCGTCTTCATATGATTCGATATCGAGTAGGTCCAAGATGTTCATAATATCTTCGGGATATCCCGCCATGAGACCGGCGTTCAGGTAAACCTCTCCGACATCCTCCCCAGAGCGTTCGATTCCGGTTTGGTTGAAGGCCCGCTGGCGTTGAAAATCCACCCAGGCGTGGATGTTTTCATTCTGGCTCCAATAACAGCCCGGGCTTCCCGAAGAACAAGCGCGCTTGTTTCGTTTCTTGGTGATTGGATCAAAATAATCACCGGGATGGGCATGTGTCATGGCCGAGACGCAGCACTGGCTCTCGGCAGACATGACGACGGCGTGGGGATTGTTTTTCGCGAGTTTTTCGAAGTAGCGAACGAATCGATCGATCGCTTCGTTGGCGAGTTCGTACTCGTGCGGAATATTGAGTGCTACGTCACGAGCATCTGCCACGACTACTAATTTCCTGGGATCAATCACGTCGAGGATTTCCCTCAGAACTTGGTATTTGTCTCCAAATCCACGGTATTCGAGGCCTCCACCATATACCGTTGTGGCAAGATGTGCGAAGTTGCTTTGTTCCATGAAGAAATGCAGCGGCGATGTTGGGTTGTCCTCCATCGAAGAGTCCGTCTCATACATCAATACATGGATGTCACTCCTTTGCGCGGTCGCAAGCTTGGCAAAAGCAGCGAGGAAAAAGCAAATAGAAAATTTCATGGTTCGAAACAATTTCTTCCTATAGATTTGTCTTTGCTCCAATGCATATATATCTGGGTTCAAATAGTTTTCTTCGTGGGAAGAGAGTCTCTAGGACTACACGATAAATGCTTTGTTTCTGCGATTTGAGTAGCAGCAGGCCGATGTGACGCCGACTAACCTTCTTTTGAAAAATTATTGGCAGGTGTTACGACACCTTCAGAATTGTTCGTCAATGATAATTTCCAAGCCCATGTTAGCGAGTAGAAGAAAACAGGGGATTCGTCGCGGTGTTTTGTGAGCGAGTTTTGCTTCAGATGGTATTCGGCGAGCGATAGCCGTCGTATTAGCGACAACGGTTGTCACACACACATACTTGAACATCGGCTTGCCTCATTTTTTCGTTGTTTTCCCCGTCGTTCCAATCGTGCACGTGCTTAACAGGATGGTGCGGCCTGCGTATAGTTTTAGGGGGAAATAAAAAGATTAATTTACTTCCCCCGTCTCCTGTGGTGACGAACCCAAAGTTCAATCTTCGGATGACAACTCGTGAATAATTTTTTGGAAGAGACCATACGCTACTGCGGTGCAACACCATCGACACCGACCCTTACAACTGTTTTTACAAGTTCATAGATCAGGGATAACTTCGGAACTGAAAGATTGGAAAAAAGGGCATCGAGTCCGACCATACGTTCTTCTGAACAGCCAAATTCTACGGCTGGGTTTCGCATTGGTCGTATATTACAGACTAAATAGGAAAAATAGTACCGTTGTCCGTGTGTCATGGGTCGCTCACAAGTCCTCTACAATCGAACCAAGGGCCGAGGCAGGAACCGCGCTGGAAGAGGAGGGCGGGGTCGCGGCGATGAAGGAGGTACAAGCAACGGTGGACGCGATGGCACCGACAAGAGACACCGCAATCATTGGAAACAACAGCATTATGCGCATCCCATTTCATCGGGGAACGTTTCAAACAGCAAGAACAGTGGCGGCGATTCCAATCCCAAAGGAAAGGACTACGAGAACGAATACGAATTGCTGCTCGCGGGCCGGGACACCTTTCTGCGTAGTAAGGATCACCAGAATTCTTCTGCGTTCGAGGAGGAAGAAGAAATCTACCAGTGCGCTGCGCTTGGAGCTTCGATTTGCATTCCGAGCATGGCCGCTACCCTAAACTCGATGTCGGTTTCCCACCGGCTCCGGATGCCTCTGCATGTTGTGGCATCTGCCTTTCCGTCTCGGTTTAAGGCGGACCAAGTCCGTGACGAGGGGCAAAAAGAAGGGGAGGAAGAAGTGCACGCAGATTCTGAAAACGGTGATGCTTCAGTTGGCAAAGCAGTTGTTGTGGAGGATGACGCTGACGATTCGTCTGCTAATCTCGAAGACTGGCTGGACGATGCATGCGGGAACACACAGGAACCACAACCACAAACATCGATTCCCCATCGAACTGTTTCGCCCAAAGCTAGCGATGGAAGTATTCACAACAGCGACAACGGCGATGATGTGTCTCCCAGCGCCGCGAACCTCGGAAACGAGAAGACAGCAGAAGCGGCAGTTGACAACAAGATAGAAGATGGTGGAGATGGCGACTTGGACGACTGGTTGGACAGCGTGATATGAAATAATTGAATTTCTTTCTTCAGGCCACAATACGGCTATCGATTTTAAAAAATCTCTCAAACTCTCAAAATGCCATCAAAATAAATCGTATGATATGTTCATATGATATGTTCCTACTGTAAGTACGTACTTATATCACATACTTATGATAATCTCTGCACATCTGCATCTTTGTAATATGACGCGCAAATCCTCCTAGTCGTGCATGAAATCGATCGATCAAAAATGCGCTAACGTATTGACAGTACAAGGTACGTACGAAGTAGAACTTCTACTACGAAGACACAGTCGAGTCACTACAGTATTTAGACGTTAGTACAGTAAAAGCTAAGCCCAAGTTTACTTACGTCGATATTTTTTTCAAAACATCTCCAAAACACACCAAAATTTTCGATGCTGACACATTCCATATCTTCTCTATTCTCTATTCCATGACACTGAATTTAGCAAGAGAACAAGCGGAACGATCACATTGATTTTCATTTTCTTAAGATTTAAACTGAATGCAAGTGTAGTGAGGAACTATGCTTGAGACTTTCATCGCCACTAATGATAAACAACAATGAGAACAAATACGGCTCACTTGTCGATGCCGATCGGGACACCGATAGCTACGACGACGACGAGAAGGATGCCCTTCGGATGGAATCGCAGCGATTGATAACACACGACGATGAAAGTTCTTTCTTGAAAAACAAAGAACGTGCCCCGGGCAATGCTGGAAAAGAAAAACGCAACAAAAGCTCAGTATCTCTCGTTAAGTTTTTCTTAGTTATTGTTGTCGGAACATTGTGCTTTTATTTTCTGGGAAGTGATCGCTTCTCAGACAAGGATATTTCAAGTTTTGTAGATGGCTTACAAGCGACGATTTCGGTTTTTCCCAATCAAGAAGAGAGCGAAACTATAACGCATGGCAATGATATCGATGACACCATCGCATATTCTCCCTTCTTTGAGCATGTTCTGGAATGGAAGCAGCTCGATATGGCGGATTCCTCTCAGGACGAGGACGATGATGATGGTAGCAGCAAAAGGAGCAGCAATCACTACCATGCATCTATTGAATTTTGTTCCGATCCTAAGCGTGGTTTATACGCCTACGGACCAGTCGGAAACTGTGTCCCGGGGACACCAGCGCCCCTAATAAAAATGAAACCCAAGCAGTAAGTGGTTCACGACGTTGGCTCTGGCATTGCCACCACGGATAGAAAAAAGCTCGCAGAAAGGGATTTAATGAGTAATTATCTTTGCAAAACAGAATTGCAAAAATCTGGTACATTGGTGCTCGCTCAAATAATCGTTAACGTTCTTGCCATTGTTCGCTTGTTCGCTCCTCAGTTTTTATCACCTGACTCTGGTTAACAATGCACACATCGATACGAATGTACACACGCACGGACTGCATGTTTCTGGGGTTGGTAGTGTGGATGATGTCACAAGGGTGGCGGAGCCTGGAAAGTGTCTCACGTATGAGGTATGAAAAGACATTTTTTTCGTGGCAGTCGAGGGATATCAATGCTCAAGAATCTCGCCACCTGTATGGATTCGGCTATCTATTCCAGATATATGTTTCGAAAGTCCTAACTCGATTCATCATTGCTTTTTTGCTACCAAATTATCTTTTGCTTTGTCAAAAAGTATTACATCCTCGATGATGCCGACGTTGGGACATTTTGGTACCATCCTCACCGCCATCCCTTGGTCACCCGATCTGCGTACGGGGGAGCATATGGTATGATCATTGTTGAGGAAACGGTCAAGAATTATTATCCGGAACATCTCGAGAACTTTTTGACAAATAACAAGGTCCTGCTGCAATTTTCGAGCATGTATAACAAGAAATTACCAGACTCTTTCCGTTCCAACAGGGTCAATGGCCAAAAGGGTTTGGACCTTTCTCTTTCACCCGACACACCATATTATTTTCAGGTCTCCTCCGTGGTCTATGCCGAATCGGTCAACTACCTCGAGTTCGATCCTCCCGATGCCTGCGATGTTAGAGTTGTCGCGTACGACGGGGTCTACCGATCAGAAATACCAGGGCCCACCTCCATCCATAAACAGATGATGACAGTGTCCTCTCGGGGTGACTTTGCTGTAAGCTGTTCCAGAGATGCCGACATTCACTTTCACCAGGGCAAGATGAGCGAGGAATCAAACTTGGTACGAATCCATGTTCCATCCTCATTGTCCTCATCATCGACAGATAAGGAAGCTTCTAGTAATTTTACACACGTATCGTTGGAGGCCATTCTTCCCTCATCTCCCTATTGGGATCCTGCGCTCAAGACAACATGGAAACCCCGGCGGCCCTACTACATGCCCAACCTTAATAGTCCTCAACAAATTGTGGATGAATACTGGCACGTTTCCATGGACGATTGGTTCGTTAATGGCACGAAGGGTGTCTCCGTCAACCAACACACATGGGATCCCGCCGTTGCCATTCGGACTTTTGATTTGGGACAACTGGTCGAGTTTCCCATTTTGTTGTCGCAGTCCCATCCGTATCACGCACACATCAATCGAATGCAGGTCGTTGAACCCGGCGGCTGTGGATTGCGCTTTGAAGAAGGCGAGTATTTCGATACGATTGTTCAGTCAAAAGACAAGAAAAAGTGTACGGTCAGAGTCAAGTTCTTTGATTTTGCCGGGCGCCTCGTGATTCACTGCCACCGTTTCGGTCACGAAGACCAGGGGATGATGACCGTAAGTACAATTTGATCGAAGAAAATTTTACAATTTTGACAACATGTTTTTTCCTTAGAAGTATTCATCTAAATTACAATGTTTTTTTCTTGCGTGCCGTTTCCAAAGTGGATCGATGTTTTGGGTGGACACGGACATGAGATTAAGGCAGCTCCTCAAACGAGTTGCGCTGCGGTTTTGTGAACAACATTTTCAAACCTCTAGGCATACCTGCCAGCTTTTCACTACCAATTAATAATGATAAATTGTGAATTAATTGTTATCATATATTCCTAGCATGTCAACTTGAATGATGCATGATATGATATCTGCATCTACTTTTCTAGCTTGTGATAAATGTGCGTCTAAATCTAACTTCTTTTGTGGAATAGTAACTGACATCTCGACGCATATAGATATGCATCTACTTTCCTCGCTTATGGAATACGTAAACCCAAATCCATTTTCTTTGTGGATATCCTTTCGCAACTATTGGCTCAATGTAGATACTTTCTGTTTCAATTCGCCTAGCCGGTGTATCCGAAATGAATTTCTTTTCGTGACATTCTTTTTTGCACCTCTTATCAACGCCTACTGACTTTCTTTTCGCAACAACCACCCCTATCCTCGCCTTACATCAAAATAGTTTTTGATACCCCATTGGAATCACACAGATACAGAATAAAATACGCAAAGTAGCTTGCAAACAGTTTTTTACATACATGCCAAACAGAAGGACCCCCAAGTTTCTGCTCTGGACCTCATTGCCACGTTACCAATCATTGATTCCGAATACTGTATACTTACTCTAATGACCACCAAGAACTTGTTGACCTCCACAAAATATTCTTGGCTTTCATCGCCATCATCGCTACACCAGCGCTAGTCACAACAGTAACGGCTTGGTGTGTCGATGGGAGATATCTGGAGGGGCTGGCGGGGCCATCTTCTCCAGTTCTGTCCATCGCGAGACTGGATCCTCCGTTGCCGAGCGGGCTTCCCAATATTAATTCGCTCACACTGGTACCGCTACTAGGACTCGAAGGTTTGACCCACTCCCAAACGGCTTTCTGGCTCCATTCGTAGAGGCTCTCTTGGAGGTCTTCGTCGTCGATTGCCGGTGAAGAAAGGACAGGGTCGCTCTTTGTTGAACCATTCTCCCCGGATTGAAAGACGCGCTGGAAGAATGAGTTCACCCCACCCTCGCCACCGAGCCATCCCTGAGTAATCTCCATCGTGCGAACGTTGGGATAGGCCCGAGCAACAACCCGGTGCTGGAGGATTTCCGATAGTTTCGCGTACGCAAACCGGACGGGCAGCCCCAGTAGGGTCGATGCACCGCTATCATGGGTTTGTTGTAGCAAGAAGCCCGCAGACGAATCGGCCTCTCCCAAATCAAGGAGCGATTCATCGACGAGTGTTGAGAAGGGCGAGGTGAACTGAACGAGCGTCCCGAATTGGCTCTGTTCCAGCAGGGGGAGCAGTTTTTGTGTCACGAGGAAGGACGAGAGATAGTTTCCAGCATAAAGCACGTCGTGGCCCTGTGCGGTCCTGGAAAGTATGGCATTCATGTTCTCGTTGATAGTTTGCTCCTTCTGTAGAGAGAGGCATGTGTTTCCGGTGTGTACCACGTAATCGATCGCATGAAGCCGTTCGACGAGGGAATCGATGGATTCGGAAACCGAGCGAAGGTCTGTACAGTCTATCTCTACCGATTCCACGCTGGCACCCAACTGTTCGAATCTTGTCTCGATCTGTTTCCCAAGGCTGGATTCCGTCTCCGAAACCACAACAGTGACTCCTTCCATAGGGCTCTCTTTATTGCCCGCACCGGCATCGAGAAAGAAGGAGTTCGCCTGCTCAAGAATCGCACTTTGGTCGTAAAAGGTGGTCTCGAACACTCTTGTGAGGAACTGTGGAAGCGCAAGTGCGACTGGGATAAGGAGGGAGAACAAACAAATGAGTCTTATTCGTTGTCGTTCGCTCTTTCGATTGGATGTTACTGCAGCTGCTTTGGTTGTTATTCCTTCCTCCGTTTCGATGTGATTTTCTTCTCGCTGTTCCTCGTAATGGACGAAATGACTATTTTCGACGTTGATCTGCGGAGAACACAGCTGCTCTTTGGCAACGGCCCGCGTTCCCGCCTCTCGATCGCGGATTCGTTCGTCCAATCGTTCCATTTCTCTGTCCAGCTGTGTCTCGACAGTGTTGTTTTCGCCCCCATCGGTGTTGTCTTCCATCATCGTGATTTCTTGTTTCTCTCTGCTCGCACCGGCCTGTACTTCGATGGTTCCGGGGTGCTCACTGTCCTCGTCGTCTGCAAAAATATAGGGGCTCTTGGGTTGGTGGAAGCCGGCACTGTCTGAAGAGGACGTCGTAGAGGGGGATGTCGCTGGGAGACTGTGCAAATCATCCCGCATTGGAGTTGTCGTCGTAGCCGTCAGAATCGTAATGTCTGCGGTATCCCCGCCGCTAGATCGGTTGTCGTCGGGTTCGTCGTCTGGGCCGTCGCCGACAGGGCTGCTTTCGTTGATGATGCCTTCATTCTGCTCGACTGGGGCAAGATATGTCGCCGAGTAATCTCCTATGCTTCTTGGCGATAGCGTATCATCGGTAGCATTCTTTGGGACAACCTTGGGCGAGATGGGAGAAGCATCGCCATCGGGAGCCGAAGTTCTGTCCAGAGATGACCGAGTATTGTATCGATGGCTTTTGTGGAAGAATTTTTTGATTGACATTCGCTTGTTCTTCTTCTTTTCATCTAATATCTTGCCATTAGCCTTGTTACCACTAGTCTTGTCGCTGCTTGTAGAGAGTTTTGTTTCCAGTATCTTTCCGAGCGGAGCAGGCATCGTCGAAGACGAAGATTTGCCATCGGACTTTCCGGTGGAGGTGTGCACCGTTCGAATCGTGTTTGCCGCTCTGTTTCCGCTGCTGCCACCGATGTTGATACTGGAAAGCTTAAAGCTAGAAGGCAAGACAACAGTTGGGACGTGAACCAGCAGCTTGTTCTTGGTTTTGTTGAGAGAAAATAGTGTGATAGACCCCTTGCGTCTCTTGTTTCGAAGAGTGAATTTGGATTTCAGCAATTGCTGTCCTTTCCTCTGAAGCGTCTTTTTGCTTTGGTTCGAAAACTTTACCATTTTTGTTGACTTCAAGTTCCTTATTGCTGTTATTATTTTTCGCCTCTATTCTCTTCTGTTGTTTTTCGGTGTTGTTCTTTCTGTTTATTTCGAGATTCTCTTGTAGTCTCTGTATTTGATTGCCTCTTTTAGGAAGGTTTCAATTATTATTATTATTTTCTTTTTCTTTCTTCGAATTTCAAGACGTAATACGTACTTTTGATTTTGATGTTTTGTGTCAAAATCGCGCTCCTTGCTTTCAACCCGAAAACTTCGACCAATCACCAAACAAGTTCGAGACAAAACTTTGGAGAGATCAGAAAAATAAGCTTAAATCGCCAATAACCGGGAGCATTGCCTTCGACCACCTGCAGCTCTCAGGATAAATACGCTGATTCGATGTCAAAAGGATCTGTACCTCGTCCGTTCGTATTGATACGAAAAACAATATTCATTATGAGTATTCCACAAAATTACTAATTCTTAACGTACGAAGTCAGGACACTAATGACGCAAAGCCAAGAGATGTTTCGACGAATGTGAACAATCGCTGAAAGCGCGCAGGCTTTGATTCCCTGGCGCGCGCTGTTTTCGACATCAACATTCCATGCCATGGATAGACATCGACCCCCCATCGACCCCCCATCGACCGTCATCATGAACTAGGGGATTGGGGGGGATTGATAAACGTTTGGGGGGTGCACCTGGTGGCTCGAACTTTTTGTTTTTAAACCTTTGGATAGTAGTACGAGTACTATTATGTCCATACGCACTGTCTCATTCTCACAACATTGTTCTCATTGACGACTCACGAACCGCGACACAAGTTCTTCGTTTGATGTGGAAATTGGATGCAGTCTGATGCGGACTGATGCGTGTGAAATGTTGTTAGGCTCCTTACTGCATGATAAATGCGTTGTGTTTGGTCGTGCGATTTATTGTTTATTGCATCCTCCTCCTTCGACTACTACCTACGACAGACTACCATCTTCCTGGTAATGCCGTACGAACCGTTCAAGTATTTTCAAAATTTCAAAATAGCATCAACAAGAGAGCACAACAGGCAAGAGGATGCAGGAACCAGATAAAAAATAACCGAACCGAGTATCAATAACACAGTGACTGCATTGTCAAACAGTACGGTTTCAGTAGGGTTGCTCGTGAAACGATCACCAATAGACTTCATCGACAGGAGTAGTAGCATTGCATCGGTTCATCCGCCATTCGTTGTATACCACACTAGGCAAGTACTGCGCAATCCAAACGAAACCAATCTGTACCGAGCCATGATGCGCACACGAAAACGAGACGACGATTCCCAGTACAACAACTCCATTACGAGCGACGGGACGTCACTGGCGTTCGATGCCTCCAGCATGTCCGTGGCCGGTTCGCGATCCTCCCTTACCTTTGCGTCTTCCTCGAGGAGGCAGCACAATCGTCCCCGCAAGCGACGGCGGAAAACCCTCTCCGACGCTCTCCAGTCCATCAGCCTGGACCAGGACGTTCCACAGCAGATCCTCAACATGAGAGACCACGATCAGAGCGGCAGCAAAAACTTTCCCCTTCGCAAGAGTGCTGCCTCTACCAAAAACAATTGCAGCAGCAACAGCAACATGACCGACAATGCTTCGTGGATGACTCACGACCAACATCACAACAATCTGAATGCTCGACAGCGGTTGGACCGGCAGCTGGACCATCAGCAAGAAAACGAACTAGACGGGGATATTTACTACGACGACGACGACAACTCACAGCTGACGTCTTCGAGCGAGGAGGACGCAGGGGATCACCGCATCGTGATGGACGAAGACGACGAGGACGATGAAGACGACGACGATGACGACAGCCGGCGCAAAAAGGAGCGCACTATGACCGAACTCGAAAAAGCCCAGAGGAAAGTCATGTTCGAGCTGGTCTTTGGGAGAAACCACCGGGAGGCGAGGAAGGCCACAGAGAAGAACCTGGAAGCTTCGCGGGTCGCAACTCCACCACCCCTCCCCATACGGATCCATCCGTCGGAGGACTCCGTCTCCGTGCTGTCTCCACCGCMACTGGCCACCGTATCGACGACTTCGAGAAGAGTCTCTCGGTCTTTAGGCAATCGAGCGGCTGCGACCCTCCCCCGATCGACGAGCGACGGGGATAGCGACTATGGCGACTCTTACAAGGATCCCGCCGATCGCAAGCTCGAGCAACTCCTGCGGCGGTCCCTCAAGAACATACAAAAGGGAACGCACCCGCTTGCGCTTCCCACGCTCGACGCCGAGGATGGCAGCAATTTGGAATCCTTGCCTCCGTTGAAGACGCAGGACGACATGGCGATCGATCACGAGATTTATTCGCGGCGGACGGCAGCAGCGGAAATTTTCGCCCAGGCAACCACCGCCGGAGCTTCGGTACCGACGGCGCCGGTGGCGAGCCCGATGGGTCCTCTTCCGGTAGCTTCTAATAGCACCGCACCCGGCGTTTCCGCGCCTCCGGCACCACCCAACCACAACGCCGATGGAATGCGATGGGAACAGAGCCTATTTCCACGCAAACGGAGCAATTCGCTCCCCGGTGACTTGGACTTGGGCTGCAGCGCGATCGGAACCACCGATATGGAAACGGACCATTGAAAGAAGGAACGAAGGAGCCAATCAACCAATGAAGGAACGAACAAAACACCAAAACGAAAATCGCAGTACAAAACCATAACGCATCACGGGAACAATCGGGAACGTGCCGCACTTCCTGTTTTGGTCGAATGCGGATTCTTTGCTAGTCTCATATGGTTAATGCGTTGGGTCTTGTCTCGGAATGGGAATGGGAACTCATTTTTTAATGACAAACACGAAAACACAGAATCCGCAGTCGTACCACTTCACTGAGGCGTTGCAGTGCAAACGAAACAAGACCAACAACACTGGGTTTCTGCAGGTAACACTTCTCCTCCACAGAACGAACATGATTCATCCCTTCGAATCAATAGTGATTCGACGCGACTGGAATGGTGTGCAGACTTCATCCCTGAAAGTTTTAGGAGGGGTGCCGAGCCGAAGTTATGAACTACAACTAGTAATCATATGACAAAATATACAGTGTAGGGAAGATTTTTACAAAAATAGCTACAACAGGCAACGACTATGTTCTGCGAAAACGTACGCGTAATGGTCTGTGAACACCTAAGGGTGTCGTACGGTAGATAGAACCCGTCGGACTTTATTCTACTCGTGCTATGAAATAAGGAATGAGGACAATTTCGTCCTTGTACGGTACCAATTTTGTGGGAATGACAAAGAATTTAAGGTGGTTTTCGTACGCGAAACCACTTGCTCTGTTGCGCTGGGATTTCTTATGCCTCCGTTACGGTTGATACGGATAAGAGAAAATCTTTTTGGCACAACTCAACCAAGAACCTTGGTTCTTGGTTGGAAATAATGAAATGAATCACGAGAGACGCATCACGAAGAGCAGTCGTTGTTCTCGATAGCTATACTACCATAGGTAGTATTTCTACTCGTTGCTTAACGATTACCAACATAGTGCAGACACTCTTTCATCTTCCAATATAATACGACTAAGTATTATTCGAAGAAGCAAAGGAGCTGACGTTATCGCGAATGACATACTCTATGTGTTTTCTTTTGACGAATGCAGTCGTTGTCACCAAAATTCAATACAACGAGTTTTTGCGATCGGGAGTATGGTGACTCTTTGGTTGAATTCTGACAGAGGATTCTGAATTCGGACGCATGACAGTCACCCCTCGAAATTGCATTGCATGACATGACATTTTTAGATTTCGCAGAAAAGTGCTTTGGGGAGCTGGTCTCTGAAGAGGAGGATATCGAATAGTAAATCTAATCCAAACCAAAACGGCCATTCCGAAGAATTAAGAGGTAGAACATACAGTACTTCAGGCTATACTTCATTTGGATTCGTAGATCCGCGACCAACGAACATGGATTGCATTTTCGAGCATAATTTTTCTGACACGTTTGACACCAACCCGAACACTATTCCTTGACAGAATTGACAGAACAATCCGGAATCCTGCCCTCGATCCTCCCAACAACGAAATTACGTTTATCATCTGCATTCCGTTTCCTCACAAATTTCTACTGGGAGTAATCATATCTAAAAATCAACAAGAAATTGGTTCTACAAGATGAGTAATCTTTATGAGACATGTTCCACTCAGTTCAGCACTGACCAGTTAGACAGCCTTCTTTCTTGCTTGTCGGAAGGGCACGGCGCAGTAAGTCAACTATGTCATAGTGTCACCTTGTCTCGACTGTTCGCAGCTAATATTTTCATCATTTTCCTCTTTTATCGGAAGGCACTCGATGGCGCAACGCTAGACATCGCCAAGGGTCTGGATTCGTTCTATCTTATTTTTGCGGGAGCTCTTGTGTTTTTCATGCAAACTGGTTTTGCAATGGTGAGTCTTTCGTTCCATTTTTCACGACATGCACGGCATACCTGTATTGAGACCATAAACCTAACATTATTCGCCACCCCCACTAATGTTTAAAACAGCTGTGTGCGGGATCCATCCGAAGCAAAAACGTCAAGAATGTTCTCCTCTGGAATCTTTTGGACTCCTGTGGCGGAGGCATCGCATTTTGGATCACGGGTTACGCATTTGCGTACGGCGGTGAAACTTCGACTGCCGAGTGGACCTTTATTGGGAGCGAGAACTTCTTTTTGATGGGAGAGATCAATCATGCCTACTGGTTCTTTCAATTCGCATTTGCATGTGCCTTGTCCAGCATCGTTGCCGGGACTATTGCGGAACGCACCCAAATGAAGGGGTACCTGTTCTACTCGTTCTTCTTGGTTGGATTCGCCTATCCAATTGTCGCCCACGCATTTTGGTCGACCAATGGGTTTCTGGCCAACGTCAACGCCGAGCCTCTCTGGGGGAGCGGTGCAATCGATTTCGCCGGGTCGGGTCCGGTCCACATGATGGGTGGACTTACGGCGCTCATGGCTGCCTTGGTATTGGGCCCGCGTATGGGGCGCTTCTACGACGACGACGGAAGCCCCCTCGAAACTCCAGCCGATATTCCGGGGCACAGCACGCCCCTTGCCGTGCTCGGAACCTTTGCGTTGTGGTTCGGCTGGTACGGTTTCAACCCCGGATCCACCTTTATGGTATCCAATGGAAATGCCGGCGAGGTCGCTGCACTCGTCGCAGTGAACACCACCCTAGCGGCCTGTTCCGGGGCCCTTAGTGCCATGTTCACAAGCACGTGGTTGAGCTACCGCTCCATCGGGCTCCACACCTACGATCTAGCTTATACCATGAACGGCCTCTTGACGGGCTTGGTCGCCATTACCGCCGGCTGTGCCGCGGTTGAGAGCTGGGCCGCCGTTGTCATTGGAATTGTTTCCGGATGGGTCTACTTGATCGCTTCGAAGGTTCTCATCAAGCTTCGCATCGACGATGCTGTCGATGCAATTCCCGTGCACCTGGTTGGTGGAGCCTGGGGTCTTATCGCCGCCGGTCTCTTCAGCACCCCCGATCTCATGGACAAGGCCTACGGGCAATCGGATCACGTTGGATGGTTCTACGAATGGGGACGTGGATCCGGCAATTTCACCTTGATCGGTATCCAGCTGATTGGCATTCTGTTCATCATCGGCTGGACAACCGCGCTCATGTATCCCTTCTTTTACGTCCTGAACTATTTCGGTGCCCTCCGCGTCGATCCCCTCGAAGAAGCGACCGGCATGGACATTTCGCGCCACAAGGGTCCAGGCTACAACGTCGACCAGTCCAAGCACGAGAACGAGGCCGCCGAAGAGCTGCAAAAGTCGAGACGATCGCTCCTGGGCAATTCATCTGGTAGAAGATCAACAGGCCCCGAAACTTCCCCCGAAAGAGCCAATCCAACTGCTGTCGAAGTGGAAGAAAGCGCATAGAACCATTGCGTAGGGTATTTTGGATTATTCACAGTGGTCGCAAAATGGATCCTAGAAATAATTGAATGAACGAATGGGTAGTGGTCAGAAACCAATGAAGAGATGCATGTATGCGTTTGTATTTGTAATATGTTATAACATGAATGCTTTAGTTTAATTTAATTACTGTATTTTCATGTAACTACTGAACCAAAACCGCAAGGTACGTAGTTGTCTCAGATATGAACTGCACCTGTACCATTTCTTCATACGATACGGAGGTAGCAAGGTACGATACGGCATACCTTCCTCATTCCTCATACTTTTAACTGCTGCCTACCGGTACGGGTACACGTACTCGTACTCTTACCGGTATGAATCGCTTAGACATCGCATTCATGGTTCATGGACCGTCTCTTCATCCAGAAAGGCCTTTCACTCATCGGCGGCAGGCAAGTTTTTGACGATTTTGGATACGAAGAACCGGCGCGGGGGCCAGCCAAACTACGGAGCGTACTTACAGTCCAAGTACTTGGACTCGTTGGACTCGTTATTTGTACTACTCGTACATACGCACCAACAAGGACGCAACAGACGATAAACAAGACACAGGATCTGTGTTCACTGAACACTGTGATTACATTGAGAGCTTGCCCCCACCGAAATACACAATAGCTATCCGTAAGCATCCATACCGCGGAGTTCCATCAAAAAATATATTGTTACTTCTTTTCAGTGCCAGAAAATGACAGACAACAGAAGAGTTTCGTATTTTTACGATGCCGAAGTGGGTAACTACCATTATGGCCAAGGTATGTATGGTGTTACAGCACCGCAGGATCTCCGGGTTGGCGGTTTTCTTGACGTATCGAAGTACGCGAATGGCGAACCGAATGCGTTTCTTGCCATCTTCTGTGTCGCGAAACCAATTTTCCTTTTCTAACGATCACACCATTCCCGCGAAACACGGCACGTACTACGGTATTCGTATGCACCCATGGCATTTATTCACGCCACTGGAAACGAAACGCAACGAAACAAACCAAACCAACGCACCAAAAAAACACACAGGCCACCTCATGAAACCCCACCGCATCCGCATGACCCACAACCTCGTGGTCAACTACGGTCTCTATCGGAAAATGGAGGTCTTCCGGCCCCGGCTGGTCTCCCCCGTGGAAATGACGCGGTACCACAGCGACGAGTACGTCAATTTCCTGAAGGTGATCACCCCCGACAACATGGGGGAATACAGCCGGCAGCTCCAGCGCTTCAACGTCGGTGAGGACTGCCCCGTTTTCGACGGGCTCTTCGACTTTTGCCAGCTCTACACCTCGGGCTCGATGGGCGGGGCCGCCCGGCTCAACGAAAACGCGGCCGACATTGTCATCAACTGGGCGGGGGGCTTCCACCACGGCAAGCGGGCCGAGGCCTCGGGCTTTTGCTACATCAACGATTGCGTGCTGGCTATACTGGAGCTCCTCAAAAAGCACGAGCGTGTCCTCTACATCGACATCGGCATTCACCACGGAGACGGCGTGGAGGAAGCCTTTTACAAGACCAACCGCGTCATGACCTGCTCCTTTCACAAGTTTGGGGATTTTTTTCCGGGGACCGGGGACGTCCGCGATCTGGGGCACGGAGACGGGGAGAACTACTCGATCAACGTTCCGCTGAAGGAGGGCATGGACGACGAGTCCTACGCGAGCGTCTTCCGGCCGATCGTGGGAAAGATCATGGAGGTCTTTGCCCCCGGCGCCGTGGTCCTCCAGTGCGGGGCGGATTCCCTGTCGGGGGACCGACTCGGCTGCTTCAACCTGTCGGTCAGGGGCCACGCCGATTGCGTCCGCTTCGTCCGGAGCTTCGGGATCCCCATGCTGGTGCTGGGCGGAGGGGGGTACACCCTCCGAAACGTCCCCCGCTGCTGGACCTACGAGACGGCCGTCCTGACCGGGGAGGACATCAAGGACGAGCTCCCCTTCAACGACTACTGGGAGTACTTTGGGCCGAACTACAAGCTGCACCTGCCGGTGAGCAACATGAAGAACGCCAACACGAAAGAGTCCCTCGAGCAGACCAAGGGGGAGGTCCTGGAGATTTTGTCGAGGATCGAGCCGGTCCCGGGGACGCAGATCCAGACCGGACAGGTAGACTCCCAGCTCAACCCACGCGGGATGAGCGTGGACAGGGCCGGGGAGGCTTCCTCGAACCGGAAGGAGCACGGATCCGAGCTGGCGGCGTAAGCAGCAACCAAACGGAATGGTCTCGGCGTGCGTGCGTCCGTTCGATGCACAAACCGGCAAATCGGTCCATCCAAACCCCTGCATCCGACTTGCAGCGGTGTTTCCCAAAGCCCCTCCGCAAAAGGCACGGGCAGCCCTGTTCCTTTTCGAACGCGACCGGGGCACACCACCGTTTGCGCCGCAAGCGCAAGGCCTCGATCGCACAGCATTCCCATGGGAATCCCGGAAACACGGATGTGAGTATTGGACCGAGAGCAACTGTAGCAGGCAGCATCGGAGCAGACGCTAGGAACCCATAGCGCTGGTGTGAGAATGACCCAGCGACGCGCCTTGCGTTGCGTTGCATTGCATTGCCACAGACAGTGAAGGGATGTCAGATGAGTCTCGAACTCGTACGCAACACCAAATTTTTGTTCGATCGAGACAAGCAACGCAGCACATGCTGAGAATATAGATTTTATTTGAGTTACTGTACTGCGTTTCAAATCATAGTCGTCGGCGTTCGTGCGCAAGCGAGGACGCACAGCAAATGCGTGCCATGGGTGCAGGTCGTATCCGCACCGAGGGGGCGGGGAGAACGGTTCGCAAACGCCGGATGCGTTGCGGCCGGGCTCGGTACGTACCCGCTGTGTTTTGGGGATGGATCTCGTTTCCGGGAGGCGAAGCCCCGATGCGGACCGAGCCGGCTTTGGTGCCACGCAGGCCGAGCCCCGGTTCCGATGAAAGGCCGCACGCTGTTCTTGCACGGGAGGACCAACCCTTCCGAGGATGCATGCAGCAGCCGGGAAAGCCGTTCGAGTCTTCCGATCCAAGGCCCGGATCGGCAAGCGATGCCGCACACCGGGATCTCGAACGCTCGAGGCACCGCGCAGCAAGCGAGCAAGCCAGCCATCGAGCCAACCCTTTTAGATCGGGGGCGGACCACCGCTCGCAACCATCGATTCGATTCGCTCCATCCACAGCGTCCTTTCTTCCGGTGACGAAGCCGCCAGGTCCCACCGGACGCGTCCCCCCAGGGTCGAAACCGCAAACGGCCAGAGTTCTTGTGGCCGTGCTGGCCGTTGCTCCTCGGACTCGGACTCGGACCAGGCCGAGACAGAGGTGTAGGAAGCGTCGGTCGCGGTGTTTGCAACGAGCCGCAGCCGGTGTTTCTTCGTGGCGGATTGTTCCTTCCGGACGGCCTGCTCCGACGAATCGTACTGGTGGAGGATCCCCCCGCTTCCGGGCCTTCCGCCGAGGACGAAGAAATGCCTCTTCCACCCCGCGTTGCTCCGGTGCGGATGGCCGGTGCCGCTGCCGCCGCCGGGCGGGGCCCTCCGCCGCAGGAACCCGCGCAGCGCCGCGTCCGCCGGGGCCCGTTCCCGTTCCCTGCGGTTCCCGCCGGTGCCGCTCGCACAAGGGCTCCCGCCAAAGGCGACGCGGGCTACCTCGTGGGCGATCTGCGCGGTCAGGCCCGTGATGGCAAAGCTCCGACCGGTGAGCGGGAATTCGTAGTCGTACCTTCGGTAGACAAAGGTCTCGCCCTCCACCGGCCAGTCGGGTACCTCGTAGCACTCCGTGAGGCAGGGGTTGGGGTCGTCCTTCGGGTCGGCTCCGGTTTCGCCGGCCCGGAAGACCGACAGGGGCACCCAAAAGGCCTCCTCGACCTCCGCGCGATTGATCGCCAGCTCCTCGTGGATCGCCCTCCAGGGCTTCCCCTCGTGGAAGGCAACGATGGGCACCACGCAGAGACGGCCGACCACCTCGGTGGTGGGCATCCTGCACACCACGCGAAAGCCATCGTCTTTGTGCCCCGCCGGCGTATCCGTTTCTGTGCCGGCCCGGAACCCCGTGTAGTCCAGGCCCACTTCCTCCAGCGTCTCCCGGAGGGCGGTCGCGACGTCGTCGCCCCCGTCCTGCCCGTCCCGCTTGCCCCCGGGAAAGGACACCTGGCCCGGGTGGCTCCGGAGCGTCTTTGCGCGGAGGGTGAAGAGGACCTTGGCATCGGACGAGACCAGCACCAGGACGCTGGCGACGCGCCCCTCCCCGATCAGGGATCGCTGGCGGGGATTGGTCTTGGGCCTCCCCCGCGTCAAATCGGGCTTGCCACGGTGGTTCGTCGTCGTCCCACCACCCCCCGCTCGGTCGTCCGGGCAGGCGTCGCCGAGACCGATCCGGGACAAGCGATCCAGCTGTGCCACCGGCCATCCGATCGGAAGGGGCGTCGCGGACATGCTGTGGAACCCGGTGCTCTTGCGTTGCGAGACGAGCAGGCTAACAACAGGCAGTGGGTTGTGTTGTGTTGTGTTGTGTTGTGTTTGTTGTGTCGCCTCCGAGCAGTCGATGTTGACGACAACGAAATCCAAGAGACAGGAGACTACAACATACGGTACGGTAGGTAGTAGGGTACGGTACCATACGTACGAGGCAGACCACCCGCGAAACAAATGGGAGCCTGTACTTATTTGTAGTCCCAGTGCGTGTGAACGTACGAGTGCGAGTACGTACTGTACGGTACCCTACGTAGAGAACAACCCCTCATGCCTTTTTTGTTCACGTCGAAATTCTGAGTGTCAGAACCGGGCGATTGATTGTCAGACTGCGAAGTACCGTACTAGCTAGTTTGAGAGATGATGTTTGTGCAGCATTGTCATTGATGGTGCTATTGTGCTTGTTCTTCCAGATCGGGTTCTACGCTGGCGCAGAAGGTGTCACATTTCTTTGTCAGAATTGGGCGACTGTCCGATAGAACGTGTTGCTCTGGCATGCCTCTATATTACTTCTACTAGTAGTAGTGGGCACGTACTTTTACTCACACCGTGTACTAGTTTGTGATCCCCCACTGTAAGAACAGCCTTGTAATTGATTCACTTTGTAATCAAGAAATCTTGTACTTCGTATCATTTCTCTACGAACAGTAGTCCCCAGGTCAACAAGGAATAGTAGTAATGCCATGGAATTATTCAGAGTTGATACTACGTGATCGCAAGCGGTTTTTGGCTCACAATTTCTTCCGAATATTAGTGGCTGTAGTACTGGATCAAAGAACCCCAGTTTTCATATCAAAAAATAGCATCCAGTATGGCATATTCACTGCTATCTTTTAGACAACAATCCTGTGTTTGTCTGAGTAAACCAATGGTTCTGCTGAATCATCCAGTTGCTACCGGCACGAGCGGCAAACCAGACCAGAACAAGGTAGAACCAGAAGGAACCTCGGCTATAGATACCGAACCGAACCCCTATTGAATACAGTAGAAAGTTTCAGATTGTCTCCAGCGGATTGTGATGATAATCGAATCCTCGAAAGCACGCGATGGAAAGGAGATGGTCCGTATGCAAGAAGAGAGTTTAGCTTGAGATGCCGGTGTGCGAGAAAGGCCATTGCTTCAACGAAAGGGATCCGAATATACGGATTCGCTAAAAAGGGAATCCGCATCCCAGCCAATTTCTGCTGCATCCGCCTTGTCGTCAAAACTGCCAAGAAAAGATTCGTTGTGGAAAGGAGTTGTATCCTCCACGAACGGGTGAAATGATTGCTGCTGCTCTGGTTCATGAAACGGTGTGACCGGGGAATAAATCGGAAAGGGCACCATGGATGGTGCCGCTGTGTCAATGCTTTCACTTTTTCGTTTGATTGGAAATGTGAACTTCTCGTTTTCTATCGGCTTGGGCTTGCTCTTTTCTTCTTTGGCGGCAATCCGCTTCAGCCGGGTGTTGGCGTCCCGAAGACAAATGCGCACCTTTGTCCGAGCAACATCGTTGGTGGTCTCCGTCCAGTACACACCACCGGATTCCAGTGGATGTTCCTTGAGAAACCGGGCTCCGTATGCTTTCTTGAGAATCTCGACAATATTCATCGTCATGCACACCGATTGCTTTATGCTTTGGACCTTGCAATACTCCGGCAGCTTCGCTTTAATGACGTTTCGGAACATCACGTTCCCAGGGTGCTTGTCGTTACCCCTTCCAAACAACACGTCGTTGTGGTTCGGACACTCGATCATGCACTCGCGAAGTGAAAGCCCGATTTCATCGTTCTCATCCTTTGCGCGGCTGAAATCAAGCCACCTTCTGTGGTTGTGCACCAGAATCTTACCCGTTTTCGTGTCGACAGGAATGTTCGCAGTCGGGATTCCAAAGGACTGGAGCGCGAGTAAGCATTCGGCATAGTCACCTAATATACGCGGAAGGGGAAAGTTGCGCAGGTTAGCAAAAAAACAACAAAACCTAAGAGGCAACGTAGTCAATGGCGATACTCTGTAGAGAGTTCCATTTCGTATGACACGCAACGCAGCCCGACGCAAATGCTTTGCTGGATTGACTCACCCGTGTGCACCCGGATTTTGGGAATCGCAATCCTGACGGACTTCATGATCATGCTCAGCGTCGAATAATCGTTGTTTGGGAAGCAGTAGTGCGCCCCCGCGAGATGGAGCGGGCACAATTTCAATGCCTGTGACTTGAGCTTGCCCCTATTAATGAAAGTTAGTGGGTTTATTTTGTCACCGTGGAAAAAAAACAAAAATATGATGCCGGACCGCTGTGCCTGAATGTCCGTTTCCAACAACGTCATAAGGTAGTACAAGCCAATCCTCATCCACGAGGCGTCGCTCAGCGAGTTGGAATCGTTATAGTCGTCGTTGCGGAGAAAGCGGAGGTAGATGCGCCTGCCGGCCCTGTCCCGATCCGGGAGGACCTGAGAATATCCTTTCTCCATCCAACTGATTTCCTTGGCGTTTAAGTCGGACCATCGTATGCGCCGGCGGAGGACCTCATCACCGAAGAAGCCGTGCATGGCATCCAGGTAGGAGCACATGCGCTTTGCCGCCTTTGCGCAGTCGAAGCGCTCGCAACGCAGGAAAATCAGTCGAAAGCCGTGCTCGTTCAGGTAGCACGTTGCTGCATTCCCGGATGACGATTGTGATTCTTCCAGCATCTTCTGGCTAAGATCAAAGGCCTTGGCGGATCCCTCCCTGCGCAACTGCTCCAGTTCCTCCGTGAGCTTTTGGAAGGCGTCTGTCAGCATTTCGGGGTCATCCTCGACCACCTTGTGGCGGATGTACTCTCGTTCCACGCCAATGCCATGGATTTCGTCGTTGATCGATTCGCGCTCTGCAAAGGACAGCTTGTTGAGCTCGTTGGCCATCAATACGTCACATTCATTGCTGGAGTACCGGGGGTCATCCATTGCGTTCTGTTCTTCTTCAACTTCCTGTTCAGATTCTTGGTGCACAATGCTATTAGAAACCGGTAATTCATTGGTTCTGCACCCGGAAGGCAATGGATTGAAGCGCATTTTCTCGTTCCCGTTTTTGTTTTCGTGTCCGTCGTCGCGCACGAGTACTTCAGAGCCGTCGGCGTGAAGTGAGGCCAACAACTCGTGAGACGAACCACCATCCATGACAGCCGAAACTTCGACAAAACATCAGCACAGAGGATTTTCCGCAAGTTGCTAGTTGAATGACAGGCCTTTTCCTGTGAATCGGAATTTGTTCATAACAAAGATGTCGACTTTAAAATACTCGTTGTTGTCGATATTTCTCTAATGTCACTTTGCTGTCTTAAGTGTTTCCTTCGTGAGGGACCTTAATTCTTATTCGGTGACAAGTACTTCTAGTACATTACCATAATTGCACTTGTAGTACGTGAAACCACGCGAGAGAAAAATTAGGAAGTACAAGTACGTATTTCGTGCGTAATTCTCAAAGCTCCAAAATTGGTTGCGGCCGCCGCCGTTGGTTTTTTTTTTGGGAGGGCGGTGCAAAAACTAGGTTATTGCTAGTACAGTAGAATGACTTCTTGTCACAATAATGACTGAATGTTTGCGTTAAAAATGAACAATTTAATTTGGTCAAGGTACTAATTTATTTGCCAAAACTAATATACTGGGGTTTGTACAAGAAATCCACACTAAAAAAAGTTTCTTTTTGTTTCCTCAGTAAGTCCAGGACTGTAAGAATTCTTCAAGGTTACTGGCTACCTGCTGCACTAAAGATAGTGAAGTGCAGTGCACCAGTGCACTGTAGCCAATAGGGAGCTGAAGAATGAATCAAAGAAGCGTCTAAATAGACAACAGGAGAGCCAGAATGACTAAATAGACCCCAGAGCAGTTTCCACCCACAATTTTTCTACTGGAGAGGAGCAAAATTCTGGCTGGTTTTTTATGGTCCCCCCCACACAAACACTCACAAAATTGTTAGGGTCATTTTTACAGTTTTAAAAATTGTTTCAAATTATTCAATATATTGGTCCCAAAATATTTCTATTAGTGGTACTAGTTACTACTGGAGAGTTAAATTCATTGGTGCTTAGTACTACAGGCTACTGGAAATATTTTGGGACTCATTAGTTTTTGTGCTGGAAGGGGGGAAAAGGGGAAATGGATATGGGAAAATGAAAAAAATCAAATTATTGTCAAACGAAACGTCAGAGGGGTCTATTTAGTGCTTTTGAAAAAAGAGCATGCTGATCAGGCACAAAGAACAAGATAAAATACAGTTCATTCACCTCTTTGAGATTTGGAAAAATTCTTTCTAAGTCAATTAATCTAAATTAATTTAATTTGATTAATTAATAAAAAAGGATAATTAAAATCAGAGACAAGAATTCTGCAGCATCTATGCATATTGTGAAGAGGAGTGTGCTTCTCCCAGTCTGTGAAGTCTGCAACTTCGTCAGCAAACTCCTCTTTAACCCATATTTGTATGGATCTTTTCCCTAGAATGGGAGCATTGTCTTTGTAGAAGTATGGATTATTATTATTCCTCTTTAAGTCTTGGTGGCAAAGGAAGCAGTCATACTTTGGAATAGAAGCGGATTACTAGCTTCTTTACAATACAGTTTGGCCTTTCAGGGTCTTCAACAACAGAGGGGAACTGTTTTGTTATGAGACAGATGGTGTGACTTGTTGAAGCCCCTACACGGAGCTATTATCACGTATTCCAGCCCTTTGATACATCCATGTTTAAAGAAGGTTCCAATCCTCACATGTGGCCACATCTTGTCAGTCCTCCCCCTAATTCCAAACTGTCTTCCAAGCTCCATCACTAGGAGCTTTACTAAGTCCTGCATAGTATTTACATAAGGCTTGTAGGTGCCATCACTCAATACTTTCTTGAACTTTTCATCTACAAAGTCATCAAGCTCTGCCTTGGTCCTCTTGGTACCAATTAAAAGACCAGCTTCATGTTTGACATTGTAATTGTGCAATATAAAGGCCTGAAAGCCCCCTTTCCTTTCAAATCTCCTTCCTGGAACTGAACATCCCTTTTGTGAAGAGCAACAAAGAGCTGTCAAATCCTTACCGTCATAGTGCTACTGTCCAGCAAGGGAATGTCGGTCTTGGTGCTCTTTAAGTGCTTTGTTCAAATTTTAAAATCCCATCTCTCATCATCACCTTCTTTGTGAACATCTCATACATAAATTTATCTCTAGGATCATTCTTTTCCAGAATGGTTGCATCAGATACAATCTCTATTATTGGTTCATTAGTTCCCGTAATGGTCTTTGCATACTTCTTTGTCATAGCTTTTGCTTCCTGATATTATGCTTTTTATGACTTTACCATGATTTTATTGCTTATTTTTCACCTATTGAAGCCATTTTCTTGTGTAGAAATTAGGTACATATGCATGTACGTGACAGGGCTTTTTTTATGAACAATTTTGTCTTTTAAGAGAGAAAATACAGTCATTGCAAAACATAAGTGTATAGGATTGAAAATTCAGCTCAGTTGAAAACAAAAAATTCCATCAGAGTAGATGGATATTGATTCTCCTTGTCCAGATTGGCACCAATAATGCCACTGACACACTGGCTACTACTAGTAGCTGCTTATTTCTTGCTATTAGCTAGCAGTGTGGCTTGTTCTTCTTCTCTTGACACAGAGACTCCATCCAACAAGTATCCACAAAGACTCTTTCTTGCCACCCATTTCCAGACTGAGATTGGCAACTTGTTCAGCACTGGGTTTTAGACTTGGATTATCACTGTGGCTCAACCATTTCCCTATACTGCTACCAATATTACTTGCTTACAAGAGGAGGGAGCAACAAAGTAGTAAACACAATCTTCCCCCACCACCATGGTGGGCTCACTATCTGTCAGTAGATACAAGCTTTGCAATGAGCACAAATGCATACTGTGTTTATCAATTGTTTTCTCCCTTATCTTAGCAAGAAGAAGAACTACTAGCTGGTAAGAACCTACAGCAGCAACAGCCCATTAGCAACAGTAAGCAATGTAGATTCATCATTGATATACGCATCCAATGAAGTGGGAAGTGAACTATACTTTTGTGTGTACTCCAGCAGAAAGAAATTCTGGATCTAGAGTGCAACGTCGTGCATCCGAGACTCTAGAGAGCAACGTCGTGCATCCGAGGCAATGGAGGTCGGGCAGGGAAGAGCCGATGGTAGCGACTGCTGCGCTCACGGAGGCGTTCGGTACATTCTTGGAAGAACGACCGGACGAAAGGAACAACGATTGGTTGGGAGGCAGAGAGTGCTGCAGCAAGAAAGAGTCCCAGTCCCGAATGTTCATTGGCCTTGGAATATCCATCCCGACGAAAGATGGACGTGGGCGCAGATATGGACTCCATCGGGGGGAAGAACCAAAAAAGGACGAGCAACGTGCAAGCCATGACCCCTACCGAAGTGTCACGGTACTGCTCGTTTGCACAGGAGTGCACGCCAAACAATCGTCCGGGTACGATGCCGGGAACGACGCGCATTGCGAGTGCAAGGGCGCTAGGGGGTGGGGCTTTGTTCGCACCCGAACCAGGAATCCGGTTGCGGGACGCAGAGCAGTGCCGCTCCGGGATGGCGACAGGAACGCGGGTGGGTGTCTTCGTCGGTTTGGGCTTTGGCCGTTGCCTGCTGCGGGATGGTGATGCGCCCTTTGCGGCAAAGGACAAGAAGCGCGTCCTTTGGAACGAAACGCACGACAAGAAGAGAATGCGCCCCGGAGAAAGCTAGTCGGCGCTCCGGCGTGTTCCCAGTGGAGCAGAATCGCCCGAGGGCAACCGCCGACGGTGCGAACGATTCAAATAGGATGGTGTTCGTACGGTACAGCAAGCAAGCAAGCTAGCTAGCTAGCTACAATGGCAATGAATACTTTTGCTATCCCTTATCGCTGGGGGGCCACGGTGCCGGCTCCGCCGTGTCCCGTCCTGCCGTTTTCGGTGGTGCCTCAGTTGTCCTCGAGGGATCGCCGGATCGCCTCGGCGATCATTTCCTCCTCCGTCTGTCCCGAGTCGTTCCGCGGCGGCTGGGGCGCCGGGCCTCCCGGAGGGGCGGCCGGCCCCGGAGGCCCTCCCTCCCCCATGGCCCGCTGGAACATGGCCATCGTCGCCGGGTCCCGCATCTGCCGCGCCATCTGCTGGAGCATCGCCGGGTTGTTCGAGAGCTGCTCCAGGTGCTGGCGGAGCATCGGGGAGACGCTCGGGTCGCTCCGGATCATCTGCTGCAGCATTGGGTTTTGCAGGGCCGCCTGCAGGGCCCTCGGATCGCTCATCATCCGCGACACCGAGTCCCGCAGGGCGGGATCGTTCGGGAGGCCCCCCGGGGGGGGAAAGCCTCCGCCCGGAAGGAGGCCCGCCGGTCCGGGTGCCTGCACCGGCTGCTGCCGGTCCCCGGCCGCGGCCTTTGCCACCGCTTCCTCGACCCTGGTCTTGGCCTCCACCAGGGCGTTCCAGCTGTCGGCCGTGGCGTGGAGCTTGTAGACCTCCGCGTTCTCTCCCTCGTCGACCTCCACCCGAAAGCCGCAGGCCAGCATGCAGTCGTGCCCCCCGGCCAGGCCCCCGAGGCGCTTGCGAAAGGCCGGGTTCTGCTTCTTGACCCTGCGGTACTTTTCCTCCATCGGGTGCGAAACGATGTTCCCCAGGACCTTGCCCAGGGTGCCCACCGCGGTCGCGTAGACGCTCGGGGGGTTGCCCGACCGGAGGCGTTCCAGGGCCAGGCCCAGCGGGTCGGAGGCACCCCCGGAAGGGGGGCTCCCGCCCGCCGCCGCCGCCGCGGTGGCCACCGAAGCGGCCGTGGCCGTGGAGAGCGGCGGAACGGCACTCCGGGCGTGGACCCGGGGGGATTCGCTCGCCGCTGCCGCTCCGGAAGACGCGGACGCAGATGCCGACGCGGAAACCGCAGCTCCTCCCGCGGGCACGGGCTTTCCCATGCAGTGCAGCACGCTGTCCTCCTCCAGCTTGAACTCGGCCACCACGTCCCCGATGCCCCCTTCGTCCTTGATCATCCGGCCCCGGAAGATCAGCCGGAGGTCCGGGAGGGGGATCCCCGTGGCCTCCGAGACCCTTTCCCGCAGCTGGCCCGGCGTGAGCACCGGGTGGTCGCCCTCCAGGACGAGGGGGACGCGGGCCCCGCTGTTCGCCGTGACGGTGCAAAAGACTTTCATGGCTAGGTGGCTAGATAGATTGCTCGCTCGTTCGTTCGCTGCCGTGGATCAAAGCTCTGTTTCCTTGTTGCGTGCGGTGGAGGGTGTCGTTGTGTCGAGCGGTATCGAATCTGCTTTTGCTTGCTTCCTTCCGTCCGTTTCGCTTTCTTTCGTTTTCCTTTGTGTCTTTCTTATCCAATCCGATCGCTTCGTATGGTACGATGTCTCGTTGGTTTCGTCTCGATAGTGGATTGGAGACCCTTCTTCCTCTCCTGGCTGACAATCTTCGGATTCGTTTCGGTGTGGACCAAGGTTCTTATTGTGTCTACCAAGTCAATTACTCTTCGATTTCTACTGGGATCCTTTTCAAAGTTCTCAACTCCGAAAGTAGGACAGTACGTGCGGTAGGAGTACTTGGTACTGTACGGTATGTTTCAACTTCTTATGTATCGTACAGTTTGTAAGCGCGGTTACGTAGCGAGTCCGTCAATCGGAAGAGTCATCGCTTGTGTGACCACCGCCGGAGTCTCCAACGAGACAAATTCTTCTCTTGCGGCGTGAACGTCGAAACCAACCGTAGGTATTTGAATGTTCAATGTACACTGTACATAGTGTTAGTACGTAGGTAGAGTATGTATGCATTAATAATATCTACTGATGTGCGGAGGTACAACAAAGAACAAAAACATCTTACTGTATGTAAAGTATGGTACGAGCCATGACCCCTGCCATAACGTACGGCACGATTTCGTATCTAACAGAGAGCCATGAGCCATGAGCCATCATGGTGCTCGTACCAGTAGGTACGTACGTACAGTACTTGGGTACTTACCGTACAATCATAACTGTTCGACTTCCATGATTTTGATTCAATCGACTCATTTTCTACTCATTTGTCTTGCCCCGCATGAAGTGAAAGTGACTCACCCACTCACATCGAACACGGGGCGTACCGTACTGACAGTACGATTATGTACGTGGAATCGAGAACGACTACCACAGGTACTCGTCCAGTACACAAAGAAAATATAACTAAAAATACAACCGTGTAGGACACAGTACATAAGACTCGTAGGTCTTACAGACAGTGCTTGGCAAGACTGGAGTGCTGGAGTATCCGCGTGTTTGATGAGAAGTACTCACACTATCACGCACAAGGCAAAAACCAGCAAAAAAACCAAGTCGGGAGAGTAATTCTCGACAATCACGTCGATAACAACACTGATATCAACACTCCTGTCAGCTATCAACATGGTCCTCTTGTTGAGGCTAGCAAAATACAGCAAAATACTACAGTTCACATATACACAGTACACTATATTTTTATGATTTTTCGATATAAGGGGGGGGACAAGTAGTAAGGAACAAAGAAGACACACAACAAAGAACAAAGCGTCGACGACGTCGACGTCGACCACGATTAAGAAGCAGCAACAGGAGCCGGCGGTCCTCTAAGCAAGTGGTGTCCGCCAGAAGCTTCATGGGGAGCCATGGCTCTAAGGACATAGGAGACCTTCTTTGTTGGACCACCATACACTGTATAGATTCGTCTAACAGCAGTTTCAGAAGAAGCGCCAGCACGAATCAGCCTCTCCATGCACCTCCAGAACTTCAGTCTCCTGCAATACTTGCTCTTCACTCTACCACGCTCGGAAGCAGTGAAATCCTTAGCAGGCTTATTAAGACCAACGCCAACTTCCCATTCATTCCACAGGACATAAAGATCATGAGGACACTTAGTCAGCTCAGCTACTCCGTCGACACCTGCAGCAGCTTCCGAGGCGCCACTGTTCAACGCACGAGGGGCGGGTCTCCTTCTTATGACTGGAGCCATTGCAGCTCTTTGGGCCAGCTCAATGGCTCGATTGAGCTTCTGATTGAACTTTGCTTCAGCTGCAATCTGCCTATTTTTAATATCATTCACTTGATTAGCTGTGGCAAACAGCTTTGAAAACATTGCATGATTCCACTGCAATTGAGTCCGTCGAATCCCAACAGCAGTCCCTCCAGCAGCTCCAGGGGCTCCTCCGCCACCACCATTCATCAGATCATCCGGATCAGCTAGCTCATCGAAGTGAACTTGCCCACTGATCTCATTGGCAATCAGCTCAACTTTCTTGATAGGATTCACATCAGCGTCTAATCTCCTTCGACCAACTGGGTGACTGTAATTGAGTTGAATCCAAGAAGCGACAACATCCTGTTTCACGTCCTCGGGAATCAAGCCAGATGCTTGCATTGCCGGATCACAGCAAGCCCAAAGCAATGCCTTTCCTAGGATTGCTGCCACTTGGTTACCAAACACGTTGGCAATATTAGGAGCAACTGAAGCAGCAAGCCATTCATCAGTAACTCCTGTTCCTTGTAGGGGCTTGTACAGACAGATTCCTCCAAAGCATAGCTTCCTAGCAACGTTAACATCAGGCCAAGGAAGCTGCGTGTCTGTGTATCTGTCCTGCTGGCGTCTTGACTTCCATCGAGCTCTATAATCAACCTCATCCCTCGTGCAACCACACTGCCTTGCATATGTTGTGGCATACTTCCGAATGGAGTGAGTACCAAGTTTTCCTTCTGATAGTGGTCTTTCAGCATTAAAGGCAGGATTGTTAAAGGCATGGCGCTTGATGAAATTAGAGTATGCATTCTTCCCCTTATTCACCTCTTTCGCAACATCCTTTTGTGGAGATCTCCTATCTGTTATTCCTTCCGTGAATAGCCATTGGCTTGCTGCTCCATCTGCTTTGCACCACTTTTCAAGATACAAGGCAAGACCAAGTACCACACACGCCTTATGGTCCATGGATCCTAACAAGATCTGTCTTGGGCAATCACGTTCCTCCCTTACATTTTTCGACCACTTCATCTTTGCTGTAAGGAAGTTAGGAAACTCAGCAGACCTTTCCAAGCTGTCCTTTCCAACATGTGCTGTATCATCATTTCGACCAATCAGATGAAACTGAAACTTAATCATTGCAAGATATCGCAGTCTTTTCACTAGATGTCCATKGTTCCCCATTAGTTCAAGTGTTTGCAAGAACTCATCCGTCGTAAGAGGTCGATCCATGCTGCTTGCCTGCCCAAGTCCTCTGGTTTCCTTCTTAATTACAGCTGATATCAAATCGTTCACTTGCTGGGACTTAGTAGGATTTCCACTGCCAACGCCAGCAATAACAGTCCATTTGTGCAGCTTATTCGGCATGAAGTATGATATCGCCTTCTTGTAGTAAACAAGGGATGAAGATCTCCCTTCAGTAGGATTGTCATCAACGCCAGGATCCTCCCTACCAAAGACTTTCTTTGCGAAGAACTTATAGATATCATCTGGTGTTAGGAGACTCAGCTGCTCTGCTGTGAATAGAGTATCATTCGGAAACCGATTATCATTGTCTCCTCCTTCATCCACTCTTCCATGTACATGGTCCATTAGCTCCAATAGAACCTTATGATATCTCCCCCATTGTCCTGGCTGGTTCACATCTCGTGGAGGTGTTACAGCCCCCCCCCTTCTTTTCCGAGCCCGGGGATGACGGCGCGGCGCCTCATCCTGTTGAGCTGTTACCATTTTGATAGTTAGTTGATTGGGGCTTGAGGACTGCTGTTTGGGGTTTTGCTTGAACCGGCACTACTCGTATGCGGTATGCGATACTCGTACGTGATACTCGTACGCGATATTCGTATGCGATGATACTCGTATGCGATACGATACTCGTATGCGAGGAGTGTTGCTGTTATTTTGTGAGCAAAAAATGCACCTCTCGTGAGTCAGGGGGGGGGCTGTGTCGTGTTGTGCTGCTGTTTTTCGATACTTACAGTAGTTGCTTGTTCTTCTTGCTTGGGGTTTTGCTTGAACCGGTATTCGTAGCTTGAACCGGTACTCGTATGCGTTGGTTTTTTCTTTTTTCTTTTTCTTATTTTGTGAGCAAAAAATGCACCTCTCGTGACAAGGCAAAGGAGGAGTTGCAAAATGGTTGCATACTCAGTGTAAATTGCTCTGTGTTAGGCAACCAAAAGAGGTACGGATTTGACCACAGCAGAAAAGCCAATACGGTTGCACAGTAGAATTCCTACCAGAATTTATGTAGAACATGTAAGTACGGTGGTAAATGGAGTGGGATCAGTTGGGGTATTATAGCCTACGTAGAATTGTACGTATTTTAAGTACCTATAGACTCCTTCGACCGTTTTGCAATATCGGTTGCAAAAATGGGGTACTCGTACTGTACTCGTACAGGAATTAGACCCATACAAATGCCTACTGCTCACTGCTCTGTCACTGTTGCGTCATCACACACTTGCTTTGGCAACTTGTGTCGATCTCACAACCGAGGAAATACAAAGCTGTACCTCTGCACGCTTCGTACTTGCAACCCGCAAGTACTGAAAACCACAGGACGATCTGACACCGATTTTCTTTGCTGGCCGAAACAGTGCTACGATATCACCAATGCTGTTGGATCTTTGTGATCGAGGAACAGAACGGCTTCTATTCCTCGCAGCGAATGCGCAATAATTCGTTCCTCGGGGTTGCGCCACAACGAAAGAAATCGCTGGGAACCATCAACACCAAGACTATCGTCTGCGACGAGCAACGAAAACGAATCGAATCGAATCCAGTCGAATCGAATCGACACGGAGTGTAGTGCAGGCGCCTTTGGCTCGCAGGCCCCGGTGCCGGATCGAGGCAGACGAAAACAAAACAAAACAAAACAAGACAGATCGCCGAAATGTCGGATTCTGCGGCGTTGGTTCCGGCGGGGAGAAAGATCGGCCGGAGGGGCGTCCGCGGCGCGAAGGGTGCCTTTCGAGACCAAACGGAACCTTCCGGGCGGCGGGCACCGCATACTCGCCGCGTTCCCTCCGTGGCAATGGCAACGGCAATGGCGCTTCTCCCCCTCGCTTTGGTTTGCCTCCCCGACCCCGCCCGGGCCTTTGCGGCGCACGGGGGTCGGCCGCCTCCCCTGCTTGCCCTCCGGGCCGTTCCCGGCGACGGACCGGGGGAGGACGACCAGCGCAAGAACGGGGCCTGGACGCCGAACGACTTTTTGGAGGGCGTGAAAAACTTTTTTGCGGGGAACACCGAGTCACCGTTCTCGTCCTTTTCCTTTTCTCCCACCTCCTAGTTCTTCCGGGCGGGGCCGCCACAAGAACCCTTGGGCTGCGGACCAGCGGGGGCGGAAAGCAGCAGCAACGCGAACGGCAGCAACGACATCGGCAACTACTACGGCAGCGACAACAACCTCGACTGCGACGACGACGGCTACGGCGACGAGCTGCCCGCGGGGACCTCGCTGCTGGTAAGAATCCCCGCCAAACAGCTCAAGCCGGGCGGTCTCCGGCTCTTTCTCATGTTCTACCTCATGGGGATGCAGAACACCCCCGACCAGAACACCTGGAGGGCCGACCAGAAACTCATGTCGGTGAACGTAACCCCCAAGACGTTGCCGGAGGGCGTGGGCGGCACCGAGACCGAAGACGAACCCACCGAGCGCAGGTACGTTCTCGAAATGCTCTACGACCGGGACCGGACGGGGATGCTCCAGATCGAGCTCCTCCCGCACCGGACCGGCCCGTCCGGGGGGGTCCGTCCCGCCGAGGTGCGGATCTACCGCTGCGGGAGCCGGCCGTCGACGTCCTACCTGATGCAGGAGTCGGTCGTCGTCGACGGGGTCCTGGAAGAGCTGCAGAACCTGTCGGGTGGCGGGAGCGATGGCGAGCCGGGCGGAGACGGAAGCGAGCCGGAGATCGCCGAGGAAGACCGGCTGCTGATCCCCGATCCGGAACACGCGATCGCGGACGCGAGGGAGTCCCTGGCCTTTGGGTAGACCGGACGGGCCGCGGGCCACGACAGCAACATTTGCTTTGCCGACAAACAATCCACCAAGGCCGGTTCACGGATCCAGCAAGGCACGCGGCGGGTTTGGTACCAAAAGGTGCCAATCGCCGCGATCGCGCCACCCCTCCTCGCAGTGCGTACCGCACGGGGTTCTTTCTTTGCGGGCGTGTGAATTTTCTCGCATCACACGAGCACTGCACTCTAGGCTACTACTAAAACGACTTTTAAGATATTGTTCTTTGACGAGGAAAAGATAAAGCTGGTGAAATCCGTTTCAAAAGAAAATTTTTCTACCGAGAGTATATTTCGTTTTTGGTGACAATGCAGCATTCTCTTTTTGCGGTGGTAGGACGTACATTGAGTGTTGGACACAGATTTCCAAACCAGGGATGATTGGATTGTCAAGTTGTATCCTCCGTAGATGCATCTGTTTGTTTGCTTCCAACTTGGGCTGCTGGTGATCCAGCAAAAACTGGCGATGCAACTGCTGAATCAATAATATCAACTGCAGTATGTATGGATGCATGCATAGTCGGTGCATGAAATCTGAAAGAGATGTCATAAAAACCAAAAAATCATTATACATGTTTTCATGACAAATTCCAAGTTCCTTGGAGCGCTAGTGGAAAGAATTTAGTAGAAGTGAGTTGCGAAGTGAAAAATACCATTGTGACTGCAGTAACCACTCTTTGATTCCGTTCCAGAAGAAACCGGCTTCGCTAAATCTCGATGGCATACGCGAAGCCCGAAAAGGCACGAACCGTCCGTGGCTCGGGTGCCCGCTCGCAGGAATGGCCCTCGCGACAGCCTCCGCAGCACGCCGGCTCACTTCCGTTCGGTGCCTCGAACTTGTCTCTCCCGTAGGTGTCGAAGACCAGGTCTTCGGGGGACGGCTTCTCCGCCAGTTCGCGTTTGCGGTTCCGGTAAAAGTCCTTGAGCTTGATGTCCCTGATCACCGTATCGAAGAGCAGCTCGAAGGGGTCGTCCCCCTCCTTCAGGGCCTTTGGACGGTGGTCCGAGTTGGCGACGAGGCGTGCGCAGAACCGGACCCAGGCCGCGAGCTTTGTGAAGCTGCCGGTACAAGAGTGCTGGCGGAACTCGATCGTGTTGATCCGCTGGATACGGAGGTTTTCCAGGTTAAGCTTGTAGTACCGGCGCTCGTTTTGGTCGTCGGGCGGGTTGACCAGGTCGCAGAGGTCCTCGAGCGTCTTGCAGTCGACGATGGCCTTGTGCTTGGCCCCGTTCCCAAGGAAGGGGAGGATCACGTTCTTGTTGCTCTTGCAGTACCTCCCCGCAAGTCTCTCGTCCTTCCGGGACGGGGGCATGAACGTGTTGATTTCGTCCTCGTACTTCACAAAATTGAGGCAGACATTCTTGAGGTCCTCCAGGTCAAGATTTCCAACGCCGATGTGGACGTGCAGGCCCATGGAGGAGTTGAGAGAGATCGTCCCAACCTGCTTTATCGCTTCCAGGACCCGCTGGCACTCGGTCAGTCCCTCCTCGCCGAAGAGGACCCGCGAGACAAGCTCGAACTTGTTGCAGTTTGGGTTTTCCCGCGAGCACAGAATGCTCGAATCCGGGACCAGCTTCCAGGAGGAGTGGTGTTTCTTGCCATTCCTATAGCTGTCGGTGTTGTCAACGACGGTGATCCCAGTGTGTTGGAGGATGCCGTTCACCACTTCGGTCCGCGTCGTAAACCCATCTAGAGACATTTCTATCTCCACCCCGAAGGTGACGCTTTCCGGGAAAGGGTGGAAGTTAGGCCGAGTCGCCCGTAATTCGAGTAATTTCAGAGACCGCCCCCGAAATTTCTTGTTTGGCTTGACGCTCAAGCCTCGATACCTTTTTGAACCGCCACGACCAACGACCTTAATCGAGACGTTTCGGCAAAAATCCTGAACCTCCGACCGCTTCAGGAAAAAGCGGTACACCTTGGATCCGTCGCTGAGGGTGACGGGCCTCCTTCCGTACACATTGTGGGTCTCTCTGGACGGATGAAACCGGATCCCAACGTAGTCGACGAGGTCTGGGTCCCCGGAGATGACGTCCACAAAGACGCTTTGGTTGTCCTCTGTCCCGACCTCGAAAAAGCACACCTTGCCGCGATCGGACGGTTTGATGCGAGGTTGAAGTCTGCAGGAATCCCGATGTGGAAATAGGAGTTCGCGCCTGCGGCGTGACCGGCCGCGGCTGCTGCGATGACTGTTGGCTCTACCCATGGTGAAATGCGTCGATAATGAAAGTTTTCGGCAGATTCCTGGTGGTTCAGGGAAAAACAAAGAAATTATGATACCATGTTGTTCGAGTTGGAGCTTCAGATGATGCCACGGATTCAAAACAGTGCTTCGCGAAAAGAATCAAAGAATTTCCAATACTTTACTGTATCTTTACGTTCATCTTCACGCGCGTTTCTATTGGGTCGGGACAGTTGGTCCAGTACAAAAGCACACAGGACTCTTCGATGAATTCCTTACGATTACTATGTTACGTAGGAACCCACCAGAACACTTACTCGTACTCGTTTTACGATGTACCATACGTACGAATTAGGAATAGGAGATTTTAAGAGTTGTCCCGCGTCCACTGTACCTTTTTCTTTTTTAGTAAAACTTCACTCCGGTGTCAGAATGTGTCAAAAGAAGATAAAATAAAATTGTGAAGGACCGACGCAATGCAACAATTCAACACCGCAACTCTCTCTCTCTTAAAAACAAAATAGAGTGATATGTTGTGCTACAAACTTCGTACGTACAAGTATTCAGCTTATGAATGAATGGACCATGACACTGATTCATGGTGTGATGTGAGGTGTGATGTGTGATGTCCGTCTATCGTATGAACCCTGGTTCGTACCTGTACCTGCCGACCAGTACGTAAGCTACGAGGACCGAATATCTGTTCCGTTACCGTACGTACCTCGTACGTATTGGATGTAAAATGTAAAATTCGAGTCAAAAAGCGTAAAAATCAAAAATCTCTCGAAATGTTTTTTCCATCTTTTTGGCTTCGAAAACAGATAGAAACCGCACCATGCAGCACAACACAGCAAGCAACCTAGCATGGCCCCGTCCGATCCCTCCCCAGCTGCAGAAATCCATTCCTCATTATCCTTATCTCACTGCTGGAGGGTTTATCCTCCACCGGCGGAACGGCCCGTCCGGAATATCAAGAAGAGAAGGGGGAAGTGCCAGGCATTGTCCGGGGAGGGAAGCAGCGGCAAATACAACAGCAAGGGCGAAGACAAGAAGGAACCACCGGATAACAACCCGGAGCACAAACTCGAAAGGAACTCGGAGCCACAAGAAATCACGAAGGCGCAGCCAAAAACGGAATTCTGGCGGCAAAAGCAGCAACACTATCAATACACGTATCCCTATCAAGTCGGCGATGCCGTGCTGATGATGGTTCCGCGAGCCACCACAGACATACAAACAGAAACACAACTTCAAACGGTACCGATGCCAGGACCAACCACCGACGCCGAGCAACCACCAACAAAGAGGCAAAAAATAGACACTTCAAGAGACGATCTTACCGTTGCCGATATTTCAGCAGAAAAATTACCACGTGAGAGAGCGGCGGCCACTGTTGGAGGTAACATCACTACCAACGGAAATTGTGGCCAATCCACTTCCAGCAACAGGAATAGCAACAATTACCTAGTATCGGTACCGGGGAGGGTGGTTCGCATCACAAGCGACGAAAAAAAGGGGAGGATGGTGCATGTGCAGCTTACGGATCCGGTCGGCACCACCAGGGTTCTTTCTCCGAAAGAGCAACGAAAGATCCTGCAGCCCAACCTGGCAGAGACTCCCGAGCAATCTCCAACCGCATCGAAGCCAACCAAGCGCACCACAATCGTTCTCGTTGAGGAAACGCTCCCCTTTCGGAGGGTGGTTCGGTATCAACTTCACAGCAATGCCATCGCCAGCGATCGTGTCCTCGAAATTGGGTGCTCGACCGGAGCTCTCTCCCAGCTGGTATGGAAAAACCACCGCTATGGTGCTCTTCGCAACGCAAACAAAAATGACAAGGAAGGAGCGGGAGCCTCCTGGATCGGGATGGACCACTCGCAGGAAATGATCGACAAGTGCGCAGAGGCACTTGCGGCACACGAGTCTAGAGCTGTTCCGGGGGAAGAACCGCCCTATTCGACAAAGCTCGTCCGGGTCGACGCACTGGCCGAGCCCCAGAGGGCGGTGCGGGAGGTAGGCCATCCACCGACGGTGGTTCTGATCGATATCGGTGGCAACCGGGAATGCGGACCCGTCATCCAAACCATATCCTGGGTCCTGGAATCCTTTGGAAAAGTCACATCCACGGCAACGCAAGGTTCCAGCCGCAATCCCTCCCTCCGGATGGTAATAGTGAAGAGCCGAGCGCTCGTCCGGCGACTGCTTTCCGAGTGTTGTCCGACGGGTGTGGGAGGGGACCCCAGCCTCCACGCAAACGGGACACACCTGGATTCTGCCAGGGGGCTGCTGTGGAACGGTTCCGAGTGGTTCTCCTCGGCCCTCGAGCGCGACGCCAAACAGCGGGTCGAATCCGCAACGGTGCAGAACCGATTCAAGCACCCGCTCCGAGCACCCATGGCATTGTCTCCGGTCGATGGGATTACCCCCATCTGCCGCTACCACAACTACCACAGAGACGGATGCCGGTGGTACAACAGCCTAAAGGACGAGGACGGTCTCACACCTGCGTGTAGCATCGTTTCGGCCGATGTCAAAAGCGGCAGTTGCCCGTTCGACCATGACCATTGCCACGCATGCCTACAAAAAGGACATATCGCTAGGAATTGTCCCTTGCTCGAGAATCAGTCGTTCTATTAGTTAGGTTGATCGACAAACACATGCAGACGTTGTATAGGGACTACTTTTCTTATGATTACAACATTGGTATCATTTCATTCTATGTCACCATAGAATAGATCAAAAATGATATTGTGGAAGTTAGGTGTTCGCTTTTGAGGAATCTCGAATGCTGTCGACGCACCGATCTTCATAATGCAGGGAGACAACTGGGATGAGTAGAATCTTTGTTGCCATCGGTGACAGTGGCTGCGACAATCGCAGCAAAGGATGAAAGAGTGGAAGTCGGCGATAACTTTTGGTTTTTGAGATGATCCTCAATCGTTGTCCACTCGAAGGAAGAAATGCGATCGAATGGTTCTGCTGTGTTGAACTGAACCTTCAAAACGGCCGTCATGATGTTAATCCTCTCCATCGTATAAATCTTTGGGGGTGAGCTACGACTCACCGTAGCCTTCTCAAAAATCAATCTTACGTGAGCATAACCAATTCCGTTCTTACTAATTGCGATACTGTCCGTCCCGTTCTCGATCTCGTACAGAAAGGTCGAGTCAGCCGGCGAAGATGGTAACGGAAGCGACTGCGGTGAAGATTTATACTCATCAACTACAACTGGCGTCTTCGGTCCAAACATAGTTGAGGCAACACGCATTCGTAATTTTTCATCCCAGTATTTCATGTGGGCGACTGCCAAGCTTCCGGCAGCACTGACGTCGTCGTGCACGTTGATAGGAACGGCGGACTTCCGAACGTGAAATTGAAAATTGACCAGTGGATCAACTACCGTGTTTTTCAATGACGATGTTAGCACTAAACTGTCTTCGGTAATATTGCCGTTTAGCATGTCTTGGCGAACGGAGAGGAATGCCTGCAAACACTTGATGCGTTGATCATGAAGTTCTCTCGATTTGAGAAACTGGTTCAATTTGACTTCGCATTGGAGTAGCTCGTTGTAGCGAGTCTTCTTGCGTATTCTGTAAAGCACGAGACACAGAGCAGAAAATTAAGAGATGAGAGTACTATTATCCTACCGACTCCGATCATTTATTGTCTTGACACTTCGTACCTAGTACTCTTTGCATGCTGTCGGTTGCGAGTTCGGGTTAATTCCTCCCGTTCATTGTCGCTCAGATCGTTTCGCTTCTTTCCACGTTGGTGTTGGGATTTCAAGGCTGCCTGAACTTTATCCATACTTGCAGTAGACAATTTTGGTCCCTTCTTAACGTTTCTCCGAGTAGGAGAGAGTGACGGAGCACGAATACGAGTACCGATGTTTCTGTTCTTTTCTATTTCTGACGATGACATGATGGTTGAGTTAACTGGGGATGGATGTCTCGTTGCTGGTGTTGTGCCATGCAATATCGATTTTGGTTCGAACATAAAGTTACGGCTGTTTAACAAGGGTGAAAGTTGGTGTTGGCAACTGAGGTTCCTTGCAAGTTGTTTGGCATGGAGTTGTTTGGACAAGACGTGGATCATGTTAGATGCACCAAGAGCTGTATTCGATGAATTCATAATGTGTGCTGTCATAGAAGGAGCATTTGAATTTGACGACATCACTGTTCCAAGAAGTGGGCTGATGGCTTGTTTTTGATGAATCGCGTGTGGTTGTGTGGAGTAGGACTCGCTTTTCTGCGATGGACAGAGAACATTGCCGTGCCTTCCTCCCGTCACGTCAATTGAAGACGATACAACCGAAAAAGTGTTAGACAATGATGAAGCTTCGGCTGTCGAGGAATGAAGGAGACGCCAAGTTTCCTTTTCAATTTCATCTAGTTTTATCAGCTTTCGAAGGGCACTCATGTTTTCCATGTTGCCCCGTGATGCGACACTGAAGGCATCATGATGTAGTAAACCATAAGTCATAGCTTTATAGTAGTGCCTCCTGAATCCTTTACCAAAAGTTTTGTCGGATCAAATAGATGGATTATTGTGAACGCTGATACAAAACTTATTGAATTGTTTCGAAATGACAAGAGTCTAAAAAAAAAATTGTTTCGAATTTTTTGGTCCCAAAATATACTACAACAGATAGAATGTCAGAGGTTCGCTAGACATCAATGACACCGCTTACGCGACATGAAAAAGCGAAAAAGGAGAGTGTTTCTCAATTATCGTTCTTCTTGGCCTTCCTTACTTCCGAGAACGAACATATTAAGAACCAAAAGCTTGGCCACGCTCAAGTCTACCGAACCGGCCGCTATAATAGTGGAGAATCTCATTATTGGAGGGAAGGTCTCATTTTTTTTTAGGGAAATGACGTTATCTTTCAGTAATCTGTTTTTATTTTTCCGAATTATTGTATACCTTCGATTCAATTATTATTCTTATTTAATGATCACATTTGATGAAACAAAGAGTTATTTGTATTCTTCATCTCTTAAGTATACCAATTACAATAAGTAAACGCCGGAGTAGATCATGGACGCTATGTCTAACGACAAAAAAGTTGTGGCATGATTCAGTCGTGAAACCGTTAAACCTTTAATTACTACTGGACCACCACTTTGCATTAAGTTACAGCTACTTATTTTATTCAACCAGTACTTCGAGGTATTGCACTTTAGCGCATCTCTCTACCGTGCATGAGGTGTTAGAGTGAAGTACGTATGTGAGATAGGTCGCGAATTCACGCCGCGGTTATATCAATCAAATTAGGTTATGTAGAGTAACTGTGGCGTCGCACGGTCCGCGCGTTTACTGCACTCACGATAGTAACAACATGAAGCTCAACAGAGTACACATTCTGGTTACATTTATGGTACACACAGTAACCGTTGAGCAGCTCAACATTTCCATGTAACCACGCGCGCTTGGTTACTGCGCGGATACAAAAAACTAACACTAACAAACACTACATAGTAGTTATTTTTTGCTTAAATACATGCACCTCAACAAGTTACAAGCGCGCGGATTGAGGTTTTTGTAACCAGAAATTGTAACCAAACCCTTCCTTAAGGAGAGCCCATATTTTCTCCACGATAACACTAGTAGTGTGGTTACAAAAAAAAAGGGTCTGGTTACAAAAAAAGCGCACAGTGCTCTTTGTGCGCCCTTGTAACCAGGCGCATGCACCTCAACAGGTACGAACTAAAAACTGCCTTCACTACTGTAAATACGTAGTATCAGTACTTGTACGAGGAGTACGGTACTAAAAAAATGTAAGCAGTTTCAGTGAAAAACTCATCTCGATTGCTATTCCAGTACAAACTCGTGTAGAAAACACCGTAGAAATATTGATTTGCAGGGGGAAACAAGCAAAATTGTATCAGCAGCTCTCGGTATCAGCAACTCGTATCAGAGTCCTCTGTATCGTATCAGCATCCTCCGTATCAGCGGCTCCTTTGTATAATACCAGTGTCCTAGCTGGTGGCTCCTCCGTATCAGCGGCTCCTCCGTATCGGCAGCTCCTCTGTATCATATCAGCATCATCCGTGTCTTATCAGCGCTGGTTCCTCCATATCATATCCGCGGCTCCTCTGTATTGGAGGGAAAAGAGCCCATTCCCCTATATTGTGGAGGCAGTGCTGCCTTCGGCAGTGCGCAGTAACCAAGCGCCGTGGTTACATGGAAATGTTGAGCTGCTCAACGGTTACGTAAATATCTGTGGAAGAGCTCTGCTTCAGCGCAACAAGTATCTTCAACAAGCTCTTGAGCTAAAGCTCTTGAGCTTGTTGAAGATACTTGCAGTAACATCACTTTGATCTTGAGCTAACGCTCTCAATCTCAGTGATGTCATTGTGTGTACTACCATAAATGTAACCAGAATTTTGTACCGACCCTCACTTCGCTCCCCCCGGTGGCCTCATTGGCCTAATGGCAGCTAGTAATAGTATGCAAAGGCCAGTGGGTTGGATCAGCAGGCTCAAGGATCCAAAGCGCTCAAGTCCCCTCCACGAGATGATTGAGAGCTTTTCTCGATCTCAGTTATGTTACTGCGCAGCGTGTGTACCATAAATGTAACCAGAATTTTGTACCGTGTCGAGTCCGTGTTATTATCACGGAAATTTGTACTGTGCGAGCTCGAGAGCGCACAGTACAAAATTCTGGTTACATTTATGGTACACGCGCTGCGCGAGCTCCTCCACAGATATATCACATGACATCACTGAGATTGAGAGCTTTTCTCGATCTCAGTTATGTTACTGCAAGTATCTTCAACACTAACAACAACAAGCTCGAGAGCTTAAAAGCTCTCGAGCTTGTTGTTGTTAGTGTTGAAGATAGTACTTGCAGCGTGGGAACGATGCGATGCCACAGTTATTTACGTAATTGATTGAGTAGCATCAAAATTTACATGTAACCATGTGCACTTGGTTACTGCTCACTGATACGGAGGATGCCGATACAATACGGAGGACGCTCGATGATACGATACGGAGGAGCGAGCCGCTGATACTATGAGGATACGGAGGAGCGAGCTGCTGATATGATACGGAGGAGGGAGCCGCTGATACTATGATACAGAGGAGCAAGCTACTGATATGATATGGAGGAGCAAGCCGCTGATACAATACAGAGGAGCTGCTGATACGGAGGACGCTGATACGATACAGAGGAGGACACTGATACAAGTTGCTGATACGATATGGCGTTCTGCTCCTCTGCTGCTGGTGTTTTGCTTGTTTTTGGCTTGTTCCCCCCTGCAAATCAATATTTCTACAGTTTTTTCTCCACAAGTTTGTACTGGAATAGCAATCAAGATCAGTTTTTCACTGAAAACTGCTCACATTTTTTTGTACAAGATACTGTACTGTGTACTACTAATACCGATACTACGTAGAGTATTTAGTGAAGACAGTTTTTTAGTTCGTACTGTTGAGGTGCATGCGCCTGGTTACAAGTGCGCACAAGGGAACCAGTGAGCCTGTTTTTGTAACCAGACCCTTCTTTTTGTAACCACACTACTAGTCTCCTTAGGAAAGGGTTTGGTTACAAATTCTGGTTACAAAATTCAGTCCGCGCACTTTGTAACCAGTTGAGGTGCATGACCAGAAAATTCAGTCCGCGCACTTTGTAACCAGTTGAGGTGCATGTACTTGAGCAAAAAAATAACTAGTGTTTGTACGCGCAATTTGCTCAACAAATCATGTACCAGTTTAGTAACCAAGCACGTGTGGTTACATGTAATTTTGATGCTACTCAACGGTTACGGTACTGTACTACTTGTACAAAAAAATATTTCCCCTCAGAGCATCCATGTACACAAGATTTTAGAATGAAGTACATATTGATTAGATTGGTCGCGAATCCACCCTTGATTTTTTCCCATAAACAAACTGTTGCATCCAGTACGAGGAACCAAGGGCTTAGTAGTTGCCGCACAGTAGTAGCGGTTACAAATCAATAAAATTGAGCTGTTTGCCTCAAGGCCAAACAACCTCTGTAAGGAGTCCCTTGATACTTAGTTTCCCAGACCCCCTAGGGGCTAGTAGTATTGGCTGTGCTGGTGGGTTCAGCAGGTGTTAAGGGGAACCAAGGAAACCCTAGTCCCCTTGCCACATGGAGGAGCCTAGCCGTTTAGGGTTAGGGTTCATCTCGTGGAGGGGACTTGAGCGCTTTGGATCCTTGAGCCTGCTGATCCAACCCACTGGCCTTTGCATACTATTACTAGCTGCCATTAGGCCAATGAGGCCACCGGGGGGAGCGAAGTGAGGGTCGGCAAGGAGAGGAGTTGAGACGCGGAGTGGAGAATGAGCCGAAGGAATTTAAATGGGCGCCGTGGGGATGGTGTACTTGGGGAGGAAGCTCCTGTAGGATCCATTGTTGAACATTAAGGTTGCGAGGTTGCAAAATAGAGGGACGGATTGCTGATGGAGGTACCTCATCATGGCGTCACTGTGCCATTGTGCAAGCAACTTTATGATGTTGGAGTCACATTTTCCTTGGAGGAGCGCCATCGTTCCACTGGCTTGGAGTGACCGAGCACTGAGAGAGCTCGGTGATATACCCGTGGTCAGTTCAAGTACTGCCGCATGCCATTGCATGGTGGTAGTTATCATGCTTGCGGTGACTCAGACATTCACATTGTGGGTATGGTAGTAACTTGCTAATTTTATCGTTGGTGGTGCGGTGTGTAAGGAACTGCCAAATAACGGCGGTGACTGGGCAACAAAGAGGGTCCCCACTTCGGGAGTGGGCAATGACGTCCCCTTTAGTTCCATTCTTTTGTGTAGTGAAGGTGAGTTGTATGGAGGTCACGGCGTTAATTTCCGCGTTGGATGCATTGGATGTACTGAGGCATCTGGAGCCTATGAAGAAGGCGACACTCTGGGAATCGGGCCCTCCAATATAGCGGTTGGATGTCTCCACTTGGCAGAGGAACAAAGTGTACTCCACCCATGCCCGCTCCTGCTGCATCACATGCTCCAATAGTGGCAGGCCAAGAGTCAGGGACCAACTCAGCAATTCTAGAGCCATCTAAAATCCTCTAAGAACCTGTGTAGTGCTCCAGTTAAGTGCAACCTATGGTACCCTTTTTCTTGGTGCTGGAGGGCCTCCTGCAGTATGGAGAAGAGTCCCAATGACCCCGGCAGAGCAATAGTAATGGATCTTAGTTCCCCCAACAGCTTGTGCCACTCTTGGATAGTGGCATATTTCTGGCCCGGCTGGATGGAATCCAGTACGGCGTGCAGCCGTTCCACTCGGTGGGCCGGCAGACTGATGGTTTTAGTGCGGGTGTTCAGTAGCCAGCCTAGGATGACCTTAGTGGTGGCCCACCCCTTCTTGAGTTTCTTCACAGAAGTATTTGTAAGAGTGATTCTTACTGCTGGAGGGAAAATTCAAAAAATCTTGGTAAAAAATTGAGGTACACTAGTACACACCTTCTAACGTGAAGTCCTTTAGGGCATTGTAAGAGAGCTAACTACTGGAAGAAAATAAGTCGACAGTGCTTACTACTGGAACCAACTTGAAATAAACACCTCCATACTAACTCATTACTACTGATTCCTACAAGCACCTCAGGCCCAATCCTACTATTACTGGAGGTGTTACTAACAGCTTTAATAGCAACAGTGCTTACTATTTCTTAAGCTCGTATCAGCGACTTGTATCAGCATCCTCCGTACCAGCAAGCCTTTGTATCAGCCGAAGCCTCCGTATCAGCATCATCCGTATCAGCGTGCGTATCAGCATCTCCGTATGAGCAGCTTGTATCAGCGGCTTGTATCAGCGGCTTGTATCAGCGGCTTGTATCAGCGGCTTGTATCAGCATCCTCTGTACCAGCAAGCCTCTGTATCAGCGGAAGCCTCCATATCAGCAGAAGCCTCCGTATCAGAGTTTGTATCAGCATCTCCATATCATCACCTCCGTATCAGCAGCTCGTATCAGCAGTTCGTACCAGCATCCTCTGTACCAGCAAGCCTCCGTATCAGCGGAAGCATCTGTATCAACAGAATCATCTGTATCAGCGGAAGCATCCGTATCAGCGGAAGCATCTATATCAGCGTGCATATGAGCGTGCATATCAGTATGCATATCAGTGTGCGTATCAGCGTGCGTATCAGCATCTCCATATCAGCATCCTCTGTATCAGCATCGGCATCCTCCGTATTAGCATCAGCATCCTCCGTATCAGCATCAGCATCTTCCGTATCAGCATCCTCTGTATCAGCATCCTCTGTATCAGCATCNTCTGTATCAGCATCCTCTGTATCAGCATCCTCTGTATCAGTGAGCCTCCGTATCAGTGAGCGTCCTCCATATCAGTGAGTCTCTGTATCAGTGAGTCTCTGTATCAGTGAGTCTCTGTATCAGTGAGTCTCTGTATCAGTGAGTCTCTGTATCAGTGAGTCTCTGTATCAGTGAGCTTCCTCTGTATCAGTGAGCATCCTCTGTATCAGTGAGCATCCTCTGTATCAGCATCCTCCGTATCAGCATCCTCCGTATCAGCATCCTCCGTATCAGATGGTGTCCGATGGATCCGCACCAATACTATTGGAGTAATTGTAGATTGCTGGTGCGGTTGTATTGGATTGAAGATGGCTCAATACTCAAAGAATAATGAATGGATTGTGAGCCAACGACGAGCTGCATTGGTGCAAATGTATCATTTTTTGTATCTCTTACTTAGCAGCTGTGCGGTGGGAAATGCTACATATTAAGAGATCACAATAGTAAATAAAATAATACACATACACCTGCCAGCTCAATATGAAAGTACATGAAAAATTTTACGTACCACTGAATACCAGGGGTGTGGAAATAGATGCATTAAAAAATGCACGGAAAACTATGGTAGAAAATACATTTGTATCATTTTCCAGATACCGTACCGGTACTGGTACTACATGTGAGGGACTGAGTCCGGAGTAGCTAGTGAATAACCTCACCCCTCTATTGTAAACCACGTATTAACACACAGTAGGGAGCCTATCAACATTTGCAGGTAATGAGCAACAAGGAACATACCTCTGTGAGGTAGTACACATACCACAATCACAAGTAGCTAGCAAATAACCTCACTATTTTAAACCACGTATTATCATACACTAGACAGCCTATCAGCATTTCACAGGTTATGAGCAAAAATTAATTTTTTTAACTTCAGTACAAGCAACTGAAATGAATCAACTCACCTCAACAGGTACGGGTATGCACTCGTACCGACTATCAATACCTTCTACTACTATCAGGTACCAGTAATCAAACAGCAGCAGTCAAGAAAAGAAGTAAGAATAGTCCGAGCAGCTCTAGAGATGAGTGAAACAGTACTCTTTCAAGAATAGCGATGTAAGGCAAGGGTGCATGGATGACAAGACCCATTTATTTCCAAGAAGTTCTACTTTTTCTTACTGTGCCGGAAGATCTAGGAACACACCGATTTGGTTTGGTTTGGTTGCTTTTGCCGGCGCGCCGCGGGTTCCAGCCCGCAATCGCCCTTCCCCTCCCGGGCTTACCAATCGACCCGCTTCCGGTTCTGCTTGGTTTCGCTCCGCCTCTTTTTGAACTCCTTGTTGCGGGCCTTGGCGGCCTTGGAGATCCCGGTGCGCTGCTTCCGAACCTTTGGCCTCGGCCAGGCCTGCAGGACCAGGGCCCGGAGCTTGTTCAGTACCTCGGTCTTGTTCCGTCCCTGGGTCCGGTGCTCCTGGCTGGTTAGCGTGAGGATCCCCTCCCGGGAGATCCGGTTGGACTGCTGGTCTTTCAGGCGGGTCTGGACCTCGGCGGGCATCCAGGCGTGCCGCTCCCGAACGAGGTCGATGCGGAGCTCGGCCTTGGTGCTCAGCTTGTTGACGTTCTGCCCGCCGGAACCCGAGGACCGCACGAAGGAGAACTCGATCCTGGCGTCGTCGGGAATCCGAACGTGCTTCGGAACCGTCCATGGTTTCTGGTTTCTCCCGGTGGCGTTCTTGCTCCTGGTGTTCGCGCCCTTGCTCTTGATTTTATTGTTCTTGCTTGGATCGTACGGGACGTATTCCCACGTCGGCACGATCTCATCGCCGGAATCGTTCGCAGAAGCAAGCAGCGGGGTGATGCAGCTGGACCAGAAGGGCCCGTTCCCCAGTGTTCTTTGCTGCCGGCGGTCACTATGGTGTAGATTCCACGGGAGTGCCCTCGCCCGTCCGGAATGCCGCTGGGGGTGGTGTGTGTTGGCAAAAAAAGCGGCCGGCAAGGCGGAGGACACCGATCGGGTCGCAAGGGAGTCCAGCCGAACCACCGACGACCGAGCTCCCCGGCCCGTTGCTACCGGTAGCATTGCGGCCACGGGCCTGCCCCCGAAGAGCAGCAGCGAGGACCCGGCAAGCAGGAAGGGGCGGAGCTTCGTGCGGCTTCCGCTGCTTCCCATTATGTGTGTATGCGCGAGGGTGGTCGATTCGATTGCTGCTGTTTGGTTGTTCGAATCGATGCTGCTGGTATGGTTGTTCGGTTCGATGGAACGTAGGTGCACGCCCCCAACAAAGGCCACTGCCGGATCGATAGCGTTTCGTCGCGTTGCTGCCTAAAGTAACACCAGCAGCCCGTGCCTACGGTTCCACGGAAGAAAACAATGGAACAAGCAATACCGTATCCGTTCGGGGACCCAGTCACCACTGTCGTCAAATTGTCAAACTCTACAAGACAAAACCCGAAAGTGATTGGCTGCTTGATTGATACCGTTGGAATGTGTTCTGCTGAAAGAGAAACAATCGTGCTCTCGCTGTTTGTTGTTGTTTCCGCTCCCATCGCCGGGTTCGAAGCGGAAAATGGTTTTGTTCCGCGTCTTCGTCATCGCTTCATGCGTGACTAATCTGACTTTTCATTCGTTGAAGCTAACTCAGTACTCTTAACTTAACTATCGGTATGTGTAGCAACGTCGATCGCTGACGATACATTCGAAAAAATAGAGGCAAAGAGACAAAACTAACATCATCTAAAAAACGCACCAAAATTCAATCTTCCCTCCAACATTCAACGTTCTTCAACTACGGCGTCGTGCGGTACGATACGATACGGTACCGTAGGTACGAGTACGTAATCGTACCTGTTCGAAGCTTTCTCGAGGCAGCGGTCCATCGAAGCAAGCAGGCAAACGAAGAAACTAGGAAACCAGCTCGGAACTCCCGGGAAACAACAACAGCCACACCAGAACACACACGATTGCACCGCACCGCGGACCAGCTAGCTATCCAATGAGAACAAAATTCCGGGGAGAACCAGGAAGGAGCCGAACGACGATGGCCCTGGCAATCTTCTGCGTGTCCTGGATGGCGGCGACGGCGCCGCGCTCCACTCTAGCCCTTTCCGTGCCGTCGTTCGGCGTTACCAAAACGATCGGCGGCGCTACGCAACACATCCAGAGCGGAAGGCCTTCCGGAATCCACAGGATACGAACGGGCACCACCGGGGCGTGGTCCTCCCCCCCCGAACGAAGCAACAACGAAGGCGAGGCGGTCTGGTCGCCCGGCCTGCGCAAAACCATGGCCGGGGTGGCGGGCCTCGGGGCGGTCGAAACGGGGTACCTGACCTACGCCAAGGTCACCGGGGGCCTCCCGTTCTGCGGGAGCGGAGAGGCCTCGTATTCCACGTGCGACGCCGTCCTGAACGGGCCCTACGCCCACCTGCCCTTTTTCGAGGACCTGCCGCTGGCCTCGCTGGGCTTTGTGGCGTACGCCTCGGTCGCCGCGCTGGCGCTCTCGCCCCTGGCAGCCGGCGACAACGAGGGCGGCGGGGACGCGACCAACCGCGTTCTGCTGGCGGCCCTGGCGACGTCCATGGCGACCTTTTCGGTCTTTCTGATGACCCTTCTCTTTGGGGTCCTGGAGGCCTCCTGCCCCTACTGCGTGTTCTCGGCCTGCTGCAGCATCTTCCTGGCGGCCGTGGCCCTGATCGGCGGGTGCCTCCCCTCCGGGGGGAATGCCTCGGCCGGGGGCCGGACGGTCCTGGCCGGCTTTGCGGGGGCCGTCGCCGGGGCCGTCCTGCTCTTTGCGGTCGGGGGCGCCGACGCCGCTTCGGCCGGGAGCCCCCCGGGCAGCACGCTGGCCGCCACGATTTCCGGGAGCTCGCGAGGGGAACCGCAGCAGCTGCTCTACGCTCCACCGGAGATCACCACCGACTCGTCGGAACGGGCCCTGGCCCTCGGCCGGGACCTGGCGTCCCTGGGCGGCGCCAGGATGTACGGGGCCCACTGGTGCAGCCACTGCTACGACCAGAAACAGATCCTGGGCAAACAGGTCTTTGACAAGACCAGCGGCTTTGTCGAGTACGTGGAGTGCTCGAAGGACGGGATCAATTCCCAATCCAAGACCTGCAAGGCCAAGGAGATCCCGGGGTACCCCACCTTTGAGATCCAGGGACAGCTCTACCCGGGCCAGCAGGACCTCGGGGAGCTGGAAGACCTCGTGAAGGGCCTAAAGGAAGCTAGCAAGTAATAAAAAACCGGCTCGGCAGCGTAGCGCAACCAATCCTCGACTGTGGTAACAAAATAAGTTTATCTGTATTTTGGTGAAAAAAAAAATGCATCGCGGGTTTTATTCACCGTCGTGCCCGTATAATACGTAGTGTTGATTTGGTTTTCTAACTTCTGTTTTTCGAAAAAGGCGTTCTCTAACTTCCTTAACAGCCGTCGCGATTCGTTTGGCTCCGCTGCTTGTATGGTTGGATGCCGTCAATCGCCCGTGCGAGGCGCCTGCCTGGCCTAGCCTGGCCCAGCCTAGCCTTTCGGCGGCTCGAAGACCGGGGGATCTCTCCAGAGGCCCGGGAGGCCGTCCACCATTTCCTCGACCGTCGCAAAGGCCGCGTCCACCGCCGGGTCCTCCGAGGAGGGGGCGTCCCCGGGGAGGATCCGCCCCTCCTCCCCGGTCCCGGTGATGAGGACGGTCTTCATCCCCAGGGCCTTGGCGGCCCGGAGGTTCTTCATCGAGTCCTCCACCATGACACACTCCTCCGGGACGACTTCGTCGTGGTGGCCCGCGTCCCGTCGCTTGGCGTTCAGCTCGCCAAAGACCGCCGAAAAGGCGGCGGCCTCGGGCTTGCAGTGGGGGAGGACGTCGTCGACCCCCCAGACGAGGGCCCCGTCCCTGCTGGACCGGCCGGTCCCAAAGAGCTCCAGGAGGCTGAGCCGGTCGAGGACCTTGAGGACGTAGGACCGGGGCCCGTTGGAAAAGGCCACCAGCTCGCAGGGGCACTCGGCGAGGGCGGCCCCAAAGGCCGCCTTGGCCTTCTTCGCCGCCTCTTCGGTGGGGTGGGCCCGCGTCCCGAAGAGCTTGCCGTAGTCCAGGTGGTCCACCCAGTAGGAGGAGAGGTCCTTCGGGTCGAAGGCCGGGGCGCCCTCCGGGAAGCGTCCCTCGGCCCGGGCCACCGTCAGGGCCTTGGCGGTGCTGTGGTAGACCGCAAAGTACTCGTCCCGGACGGCCCGGGCGGTGGCGGTGTCCGGAAAGCCCAGGCGGTCGACCATGAACCTCCAGACGACCTCCCCGTTCCGGTGCGCGGTAAAGCCCGAGGCGACGTCGTAGAGGGTGTCGTCGACGTCAAAGACGATCGTCGTTACCTTGTCGCCGCCGGCGCTCGAAGAGCTGCTCCGGCGGAGGGCGGTCCTGCCCGCCGCGGAGGCGGCGGCGCGGGCCGACGCCGGGAGCATGGTGTGCGTGGTGGAGCCGAGGAGTATCGCGATGAGGAGGAGAACGACACCAGAGCGGGGCCGTTTCGAGAGCGATCCGGTGGGGTGGCGTCGTCGGTGTGGGGAGGTGGGTGCTGCCGTTGTCGTTGCTGCTGCTGCTGTTGCCGCTGCTGTTCGAAGCATCCGTGTGGCTGCCGTGCCTGCGAGGAAGACTTTGTTCCGATCGGAATCTGAATCAAAAACATGCGTCTGTGGTTTCGTACGAAATTACGTACAGGTACAGGTACAGGTACAGGTACTGGAACGTACCGCACCTCCCGGGAAGTGGCGCACAGGCATCCTGTAAATCACGAATCGAATCTGTCGCCGCACATTGAAAGCTCAATCCCGAGTGAATGAATCATCAAACAAACAACAGGATATCCTCTGTCGAAAACATGCCGTGGGCTATCGAAAACAGAGAGCTATTAGTAAAAGTACGAGTACCCGTACATACCGGTATGCTACGGGGCAATCTGTATTACACCCTGTTTTATCGCATTGGTGTGTCACGTGTGGCGTGTTGTCTCCCAATATTCCGTCTTTATCGTACCGTGCTGTACGTCTTCTACGGGTAGTCTCCGACAGACAAGGATCGCAAGGGGACATTTCTGCGACAGTCCTAGGCAGCCCTAAAAACACCTCGGACTGAAATATTGTCTTCGTGGTCGAACAGCTGCATTGGAGACCGCCGGCGCCCGAACTGGATTGAAAACATACGTTGCCATAGATACTTCTATTCTTTGAGCTGGCGTTTGAGTTACTGGTAGTTAACTGGTCCGTGGAGCAGAGAGGATATTGAAAACATACGTCCACAAAAACAACATTGTCACACAAGAAACTGAACGAACCCATCAAGAGGGATTACATATCCATCCGCAAGCTTAACCTCATTGATGCATGTATGTTTTTCATGTTTGTAGGTTGTTCGTGCTCGCACCCCATTCGTGTACTCGTACCCGTGTCGCGATTGTTCCGTCCACATCCCCCGCTCCCACCGACATCCATTGGTGGTATCTCCACCGAATCTCGGTTCGGATCTGATACAGTTGGATTCTTCCGAAATCAACATCATTGCTCACAAAACAAAACACTTGTTTGCCTCTCTCGATTCAATTCAATCCAATCCAAACCAAACCAAACCAAACCAAACCACATTTTTTCCTCACAGAAAATAAGCCAGGCAACGAGAACACCGACGGATATCCCTAGAAACCACCGATTGATCCATTGATCCTTCCCTCCGTGCATCTCTCCACCTACCCACCCAGCGAACCAGCCCGGGCAAAGCACCAAAAACTCCTCCACCATGGCAGAAGCGCAGGACCGAGACACGGAGGCAGACCCCGAGCTCCAGGCCACGGCGGACCCGGGAGACGACGCGGATCTTCCTCCCATCGCTGCTCCCACGGACGGCCCCAGCGCCGGCGAAGGGGATGCGGACGCGGAGAATGCTCTGGGACCGGACTCCACGGAGACCGAGGGGAAGGGCAGCGACGAGGGCGGCACGGTGGTGGAGCCAAGCGAAGCGTCCCCTCCGGAACCCGCGGCCGGGACCCCGCCAGAAGGAGACGCACCGGAGGCGGCACCGATGGAAGACGAGGAGGACGACGCTCCCGCCGGACCCACCCTCCGGGTTTCCGTGGACGACGACGGCGAGGGCCGGACCGAAGGGGACGCGGCCGCCGAAAACGAGAACGACGCCGATGCCGACGAAGTGGAAATGGACGACCGGGCCGGTCCCACCCTCCAGTTTACCTTTCAGCAAAACCCGGAGGACCACGACAACGAGAACGAGCACGAAAACGAAAACGAGAACGACCACGCACCGCCGGAGGACCACCAGGACGAGAACGAACCGGTGGGGGTCCCGGTGCCACCCGCGGCCCCGCTGGAAGCAAGCGCATCGGACCCGGCGCCGCCCAGCAAGAAACGGGCCCGGTCGGAGGCTTCCCCCGAGGACAAGGAGGAGGAGTACCGGCTGCTCCACTCGACCGTCGTCTACGAGGAGAAGGACCCGCAGACCCTGGCCGACCAGAAAACCGTGGCCAATACCAAGCCGGAATCCGACCTGGAGCTCGCCCTCACGAACCTCCTGAGGGGGAAGGAGGTCCACATCCACAAGCTGATGAACGAGATCACCAAGCTCAAGGGGTTCATCTCCAAGCGGAAGCAGACCTACAAGCGCAAGCGCAAGGACGAGTCGGCCCCGACCCGTGCCCTCTCGGCCTACAACATTTTTGTCCAGGACCAGTTCGAGAAGCTTGCCAAAAAGAACGACGCCGCCCTCCAGAGCACCGACACGAACGCCCAGCTCGAGCGGGTCCCCCCCGCGAACCTCGTCGCCAAGACGGGCGGCCTCTGGAAGAACCTCCCGGAGGAGGAAAAGGAAAAGTACCGGGAGCGGGCCAAGCGGGACCGGAAGCGCTACGAGGAGCAGATGGGCAAGTACCAGCCCCCCGACAAGCAGGCCAACCGCAAGCGCAACAAGACGGGCTACAACATGTTCTTCTCGGCCCACGTGACCCGCCTCAAGCAGTCCGAAACGGGGGTCCCGTCCGAGCGGGGATCGGTCGCGCGGCTGGTGGGCACCGCCTGGAAGCAGCTCTCCTCGGAGGAGAAGCAGTACTACGAGCGGGAGGCCGACAAGCACAACGGCATGAACCCCGTCGACAAGGGGGACGACGACCGGGACGGTTCCGGGGACAAGGCCCAGGGCTCCAAGGCCAACCCCTCCCCGTCCGAGACCGACCCGGGTGCTGCGGCACAGCAGCAGGCGGCCGCCTCCCTCCAGGACCCCTACGGGGCCCACCCGTACGGAGCCCACGACCTCTCGGCGGGGTACGCCCACGCCATGCAGCAGCACGTCGCCGCCTCCCAGCCCCCCCCGCAGCCCCACGACCCGAGGGCCATGGCGGCCGCCGCCGCCGCCCACCACGGCTACTACTACGCGGCGCACGCCCACGGGCACGGCCAGCCCCCCCCGCCGCCTCCCCACGCGCACGCCCACGCGCACGCCCAGGCCTACCACTACGACTACGCCGGCCACCACGCCGCGGCGGCGGCCC